ACAGAAGCTCAGTCAACTTGTTGAGCAACATGGATCTATGGAGAAAGCTATCTCTACTCTCCGGGAGCAGGAGCTGCAGTTACTCAAGACGCAAGAGGAGGCACAACATGCTGACCTTGGATGCTTACCTTCCCTGCGTGTTGAGGACATTTCGCGAGAGAAAGAGCACAAGCCGGTGCGGGAGTCGAAGGTCGACGACATCGATGTTGTCTGGCGTGAGGCCCCAACCAATGGCCTGACGTATTTCCAAGCATTGAATGCTTTCGAAGACCTTCCGGATGACCTTCGACTGCTCATGCCCTTGTTCAACGACTGCATCATGCGTTTGGGCACTGCGAATAAGACTATGGAACAGTGGGAAGACCTGATCAAGTTGAAGACCGGTGGGGTTTCATCATCCGCATTCCACACTTCGTCTCCAATTGAACTAGGCAAGTTTAATGAGGGGCTTCAGTTCTCTGGTTTCGCTCTGGATAAGAATATTCCCGACATGTTAGAAATTCTGACTACTCTTATAACGGAGACGGACTTTACTAGTGCCTATGCGCCAGCTATGATCCAGGAATTATTACGACTGACTACAAATGGCGCGCTGGATAGTGTTGCCGCATCAGGTCATCGCTTTGCCCTCAATGCTGCTGCTGCAGGTCTTTCTCGCAGCTTTTGGGTACAGGAGCAGCAGTCCGGTTTGGCACAGCTACAAGCCACTGCTAATCTCCTGCGCGATGCGGAGACTTCCCCCGAACGGCTGGCAGAATTGATTGAAAAACTTCGTTTGATCCAATCTTTCGCCATCTCCAAATCATCTAGTCTCCGTGTTCGCATGGTGTGTGAACCGAGTAGCGCACATCAAAACGAGGTCGTTCTGCAGAAATGGCTGGCTGGCTTGCCGCAGATCCGCTCACCTACATCTGTGAATGCCGGGTCAATGCAGCAAGTTTCTAGTAAAGCATTTTACGATATGCCTTACAAGGTTTACTACTCAGGGCTGGCTATGCAAACAGTTCCATTCGTTCACAAATCCAGCGCACCACTTAGTGTGCTCTCTCAACTCCTTACGCATAACTATCTTCACCCGGAGATTCGGGAGAAGGGAGGTGCGTATGGTGCAGCAGCCAGCAACGGTCCGGTCAAGGGTATTTTTGCCTTGACCAGCTACCGGGACCCGAACCCCCTCAATACTCTAAAGGTATTCCAGAACAGCGGCATCTTCGCCCGTGACCGTTCCTGGTCTGAGCGGGAATTAAATGAGGCCAAATTGGGTATTTTCCAAGGCCTGGACGCCCCAATGAGTGTTGATGAGGAAGGATCCAGATATTTCATGAGCGGCGTAACGCATGAAATGGATCAGCGCTGGAGAGAGCAGCTCCTCGATGTCACTGCGAGGGATGTTAATGAGGTTGCACAGACTTTCTTGGTGGACGGCTCTCAGCAATCGGTATGCCTGTTGGGCGAGAAAAAGGACTGGGCAGAGGGTTGGGACGTGCGGAAGCTTTCCATGAACGCTGGTGAAGCTGAAGCCTATCCCGAGGACGCCTCTACTACCGCCTAGATGCTGGGAGGTATCAACAGTTCATGATTTTCTTTTTTGGATGAGCACATGTATCATATATCCCTGTATTTTTATATGACCTTTGTGTTTATTATGTGTGTATATAGACTTCTGCTTTGTATTATACCTCCTATCCCCACTCGTCTTTTTTTCTCCCCCTTTCTGGTCAGTGCATATGTACTACCATGCACAACCAATACACCATGAACGCGCGTCTCCAGAGCAGAAACACCCTCTCCATTACCGGTCTTCATCTCCATGATCGGTAGATGGCTGTTTTTCCTGCCCTATTGATGGGCAGGAAAAGACAAAAATCAAGCGCAAGATCAACCAGAATGTGAACCTCATAACGGTACACTTCTGATCTCCGTTTTTCAGACCCTCCCTGGAAATCTCTGTCAGCTTACGCAGGGCGGACTAAAAACGTGAGAACATATCAGGCAGAGTATTACACACCTTGTGGACGAATGGCACCTGTTGGTATCTCCATTGAAAGTGAGGTGTGTGTTACCTGTTTCCGTGCCGTGGCATTGGAAGTTAAGCCGTATCAAAGTTAGAGTCGTGGTTGTAATAATTCAAGGAGAAAGGAACAATCTTTTCTGTTCCGTGGATGGCCGAGGTAACAGAAAAGATGGCCTTCCTTGTACTACATACATAAGAACGTGATACTTCCCGTGAGTGAGCGTAAGACCACGGCGATAATTTAATTATTCACTGATCAAAAACAAAATTAAAACAACTGACGAGTAACAACCCCCATGTATTGTTGTGGTGCCTCTCACGTGGTCATGTAGATCTCGTGGTCTACTGTTCGTTCCTTCTTTATCAGCGTCTAGTATTTTGGTTATCTCGGGCTTTACATTTCCATCCTAGATCATGGTCTCAGTGAACTCTATTCACAGGACTAGGTGCTAGAGAACGATGCAATACCATGCCATACCACTGTGCCCGTCATCATGAAGAAAAGCGATGCCATTGTGCTGGGCCCCAAGCCTACCAAAGCATGCGGTAGGTGGACTCTTATGTTGCATGCAAGCAACACTTGCCAAGATCCTAACAGTGTATAGTCAATTGCCGCAGGTTGAAGGTTAGGCGCTAGTGAGATACATTCGTCATGCGAACAATGTACTAACAGGCTTCAAGATGAAATGTGAGGTCGATGGGACTCCTCCATGTCGTCGATGTCGCCATGCAAACGCCGCTTGTGTGTTCAAACCTAGATCTAATGTTGGCGCTAATCCTCAGAGTGATGGCTGGGGTTGTATTATGCTTACTGATTCCAGGCTGCGGCTGCCCATGAGATTGTGTCATTATCGGAGGGTGGACAATGCACAACTTTATTGTCTCACTTGGCACAGTCTGACTCAACTGCAGGGTCCGTTCTCAACCGGCTGGATAGAATTGAGGCCATTCTAGGAATCCATAAGGGAAGATATGCCGTAGGGACGGTCAGTGTCGATTCGGATCAAGACGAAGAGACCAGCATGCCCAATTCAGAACTATCGAAAGCTGCCAGGCATCTCAGACTCATTACTCGCCCACCACAAGATAATAGTCTTTGGTCTTATTCCACAGTCAAGGGTCTATGGGAAACGTATGTTGCTTTATTATCCTCATTCTTCCGAATGGCGGAAGCTCATTGAAACATAGATTTCTCAACAATCTACCACTACTGCACTTTTTGAAGGACCAGAGAGCTTTTTCCTCCCCTTCGCCCCTGTTGCTTGCCTCCGTGCTCTACATATCTGCACTCCATAACCCAACCAAGGAACTTGCATCGTTGGCAGGTGAGTATTTTGTAGCCACATGTGATGCCATCACTGAGCTGGTTATCCCAATTCCCCTACCAAATGCCCTCGGTGGATTTAAATCAAATCCTGCAGGTCGGAATCATCTAAGCTGTAAAGATGAAGACAAGACGTTCCAAAACATCCTGGGCCTTATAATGGCTAGTCTCGTGTCCGAGGCCTACATTGAGACCACTGACAAGTGGATAGCAATTGCCTACCGACTCTTGCTGGACAGTTGCCCAACTGACTTGAATGATATGGCTCAAGACTGGTGCGGTCTACTGTCTGGAATTCAGGTAAAATCATAGTACCTGTGGTGCTTAGGCAGTGCTAATTACCTTAGGTGATTGATATCGAACATGCCTCCATGCATATGTGTCATCCTCTGCTACCTCGACAACCACCGACTCCATCTCTCCAACAACTAAACAGCCACGAGGGGGATGCATATCGAGGCCTAACACAGATTATGCACCAGGGACTCAGTCATTTCGTGGGACGGGGCCTACCTACTATATGGTCATTCGTTAGCTCGACTGGAATCGACGCCACAAGTCATGTCCGTACACCCTTCACAGATGAAGACTCTAGAGTTATTCGACTCTGGGCAAGGAGGCTAGATGACTGGCTTGTCCGATATAATGGGACATCCCGTAGGCACCGATTTGCTCGGCCTCCCGTGAAAGTGTGCTAACGTTGTTTCCGAAGAACCCTCTCCATCAGACCGCCAAGGAATTCTCATTCTTCTACAATACCACCTTCACAAACTATACGTGCTGTCGATCTATCACCCAGCCCGTGGATTTGACATGAGCTCCACAAACATTACTCCATCAGAAAGGCATGAATTGCTAGTATCAGCACGGACCGTGCTACGACTTCGCCAAGACGATGCCAGTATATGGTCTAACTGGGACCTCATAGTACGTACTACAGCGCAGTATTAGGCCGCCAATGAAGGCTAAGAGATACAGATGATAACATGGGCCGCAATGCTCCTCTTGCGGGGTGTGGAGGACGGTATGATATGCCAAGATGGTATGGAAGGCTTGTTCTTCTAAGCAAGATCTCTAAACATACTCATCTTTTCTAGATCTGAGTCTTATTCAAACACACATCAGCAGTCTAGCACGAAGTGATCCCTCAGTACCTAGCATTCATAGGGTGCTTGCAGATCGAATTCAGTCCAGCATGCAGAGCATGCACACCCCGCCTGATATGAACCATGAATTGTCTTTCCCGCCACCCAATTTGGATCATTCATGGACAATTTTCGATCAAGAGATAATGTCACTCGCAAACCCGTCGTGGCTTTTCGAAGGGCCTTCGGTCGGTTCGACCCAGGCTGAGCTCTCGCAGCATCCAGCAATGTCGTCAGCACGGTACACCGATGGTCTGACCACCACCAGTCCGAATAGCTTCGACCCCAACAAACAGTGGGGCTCCACAGAACAGCTGGCTGGTGTACGGATGTCAAGGTTTAATCCAACTTTCAGTCATGGCAAAGCAACGGGCAATGATCGCTATTTACTATGATTGAACTGTTTTATCAAGTACAACCGTTTGTTGAGAATAGACTGTGAACTATCTTTCTGTCTTTAGAAAAAGATCCCTCTCTTTCAAAGCTCAGGTTACTAACTACAATGTAAAAGCGCAAGAACCTAGTACGTTTCATTCATTTTTGATCGTATCGGGTATAGAAATGTCATTTCATCAGTCGTTATACTGTACAAAGCTATATGGCTGCCACATAGCACAAGATGTCACGGCACCTTGCTTTACCTGTACATGAGCTCTGGTGCCAAAGATCCACTCGACTTAGATGTCGGTGTGTCGAGTTCCTTACGTGGACTATTAGTTGCTGTCAGGTCAATGATTCGGAGGATCTTCTTTGTTGTTTCCTGCTGAGTTCGGCTGGCCTTCAGGCTCCAGGCCTTCACTTGCTGCCGGTGATGTCAGCGGTAGAGGCGGGAATGGTTCTGTCTGCGAAAAATCGCCAGACATTCTTCCGGTGGAGAGTTCACTTTCTCCTGCTGATTCGAGAGGAGTATTAACGGAAAGTTCAGGGAGAGCAGTCTCTGTAGAGACAGTTGGAGAGGGAAGTACAAGGGGTTGTGGAGTGGACTAGACGTTCGTCGTGTTAGCTTTCGTTGTTATAACGTGGAAGCGGGCTACACTCGCATACCTGGTCTCTCGCTTGACTCAGGCCGCGACTTGAAGCCAGCTGTCGCGCAGCAAGTCGTTTCCTTATGATCTCTGATTCTTCCTGGCGTTCTGCTTGTTCCTCTTCCTTGTGTAGGTCAACTATTGATGGAGCGGTGATATCCTGTGCGACATCAATATAAGAGTTTTGAGGGGATCGTAGTCGACTGCTTCGCTTCTTTCTCTTCTTTTTCGATTCTTTTGATGCCAAGCTAAATGAGCCTGATACAGACCTCATACTCGCAGGCTTATCACTGAACTGATCTTCCGACTCCAGACCAGTCCCTCGACGGCTGCCCAACGCCATAGCAAACTCATCATCTAACGGTACTGCATCTTCCTCCTCATCGCTAGGGATCAGATCACCGCGCGAACTCAAAGAATTTACAGTTTCTCGTGATGACTGGGTTGAACTGCGATACCTTCCGATTTTGCCAATGGAACTCGGTCCTTCATTCTCCTCCTCTGCCTCCATCAGAGGCTCGTCTTCATGCGCATGCATCCGCAGTCCGGTAGGATGCTCTTGCAGGTCAGCCACGGAGGGCTGATACCTTAAACCTCGGGCCCCGAACCTCCATGGGAAGCGCTCCAGGAAACCCAGAAACGACGAGCTTGGAATAACTGTCGGATCATTCCGATCATCTGGAACTAACACGCTACTTTTTCTCCTTGCCCGTCGCGTGCCATAACTCATCTTCCGTTGTCTGCGGGGCTGTTCAGAACTTCCACGCGTCAACCCACTGCCTGCTAATAAGCGATCAAGCTCATCAGTACCCCACCCCAGTAATCCGTCGTCGGCATCGTCATTGTCCCAATCATCATAGAAGTCAAAAATTGCCTCGGCGCGGCCCCTGCGCCGACGACGAAGCTGGTCTTCCCGGCTCGGGAGGCAAGGTGAGGCACATGCGTAAATGCAGTTCCCTATCGTCGCAAAGCATGGTAGGATGTAGTGATGGGAGAAGGTATACAGCCCTTCTTGGGCCGTCTCATTTGCAGTTTCGAGGTTATGAGATATTTGGTTGATGGTCTGGCGGACACGGGGGTCTCTGGGTCGCATCATCTTGGATAGTCGTTGATTCGTTGATAACCGTCACGCAACGGCTTTAGGTGCGGTGTGCACAAGTCACTACAACGTCACCTAAGAGGCCCCATTGAATTATCAGGATAGTCAGTGGGATCTTTCGCTGCCGCCTATGCCCGTCCGGAAACTTCTAAGATATCCCATTAAAAGTACGCGAGTCGAAGTGATCCTGGGGTCGAGATGAGGCCTGAGGAACGCAACCTCCGATCTTCACGATGTCATCGGTTCACCTTAGTCAGCCGACCACGTGCCTATCCAAAGATAGTACACAGAGCCTAGCCATCGATTTGCCCAACTAGTCTTAATCTTAATATAGATATATCTCCCTTCATCATGGTTTATTACACTCGTTTTCTCAAAACCCCAAGAATTCAGAAGCAGAAAGCGGGGTCTTTGTCTGTTTCCGCGCTTATCTGCATCACCACGGACTTAGGAGATGCGTTTCTAGCACAGGACGTGGATTTAGTCGTATCATTGAGTCTCAAGGATTCGGAAAAGGTTCTACATCAGGAGCCATTGAGTTGGAAAGCTGGCAAACGGGAACTTGCTATATTAATGGGACCTTTTCATCCACAGCTTTCCCAACATGCCATTGTTCTGAGTGTTGCTGCAGCTGATCGTCGAAAGCATCATTCGCCTTCTCCAGACAATCTACTAGGGAACCCCGGTGTTCCTCTAGTGATTTCTGGATGGAGCGCACCTTTTGGTGGGCCAGAGTCCTTGGTAGCTGAGAAACTTGTCGAAAGACGCTTTGGGCCGAAGGGTCATCTAGACCTCAGAATATGGGAAGAAACCGGAAATAGCATTGCCCGTCATATCTGGTGAGGCCTTTCCATTCCGATATTATACCCGTGGCTCTAAGACTAGAAACCAGGGATGCAGCCATTGCATCAGTAATCTATCTCCAGCAGATAGCTACCGGAGACTCAGAAATCACAGTACCACTACTTTCAAAACTACTACAGCTAGAACGCAGTGCCGCTCTTCGTGTCATCGAACTGGGATCAGGATGCGGTATCGTCGGGATAGCATTAGCGCAAATGCTTCCTCAATGTTCCGCCCTACTCACAGACCTACCAGAGGTCGAAGAGATAGTAACACAAAACATAGCAGTTGCCAAACCGACACCGTCCTCCAACCTTGAGTATCGAACCTTGGACTGGGACGAAGCGCTCCCAGAAGACCTTTGTAACGACTCTATCGACTTGGTCCTTGTATCAGACTGCACCTACAATGCAGACAGTTTACCTGCTCTAGTTTCGGTCCTGGACCGTCTCGTTCAGTCATCACCGGATGCTATCATTCTTGTGGCTTTGAAGAGACGACATGACAGTGAGACCGTTTTCTTTGACTTAATGCAGTCGTCAGGGCTCTCCAATCTGCATCATGACAGTATGCAATTGCCCTCGCAACATGACCAGTTTGACCAGATTGAATTATATTGTTATGGAAACAAGACAAGACACCCAAAGCCCATCGCGACATAAAAGGCCTCCCAGTTCATTAGCAATTCGCCTGACTCAAAAGGATATTACAAACACTCTTTCGCAGTCGTACTTTGCTGCTACGGGATGACAGTATGTTTCGTATCCCGCTTCTACTTCTCACTTTTCTTTTGGGCCCTTTCCGCTCTGCTGTAACTGGCCGCCGGGATAATGCGCTCTCGTCATTTTTAACACATACATAATGGCTAACCATGGAGTAGTTATCGCTACTCGGTAGCTTACGGCACTCTTATAACTGCATATGTCTACGCCGATTTTGCGTAAATGCACTCGCACATCGGCTTTCAGCATTGGGCGCTTAGGTAAAGATTTATCATAGCAAAGAGACCTCGCTTACGAAAGATATAAAATACCCCTCAATAGTATATGAACTTGTTTTGGAAGGTCAACGTTTCACAACACAAGGTTCCATTCGTTTTTCCACAATTACAAATACTCTGCAACTTGAGACTAGGAATTAGTTCCTTGGTGCAATAAATTCCCCAAATCTATCCAAGCTGTCAATTTCCATGGTCTTTCGGGTATTTCGATGGCTTCTACCAAGACGTCCTAATCAGGCGCATCAAATTCTCGGTTGGTGGGAAACTACTCCTTCACCTTCTACCTAGATAGGTTCGAACTCTCCCTTCCGACATCTAGGTTTTTGAACTCCGGTTATGAGGCCGCAATCCTTTGATTTGATCGTGCTTCCAGATGCCTGACGCCTTTACATCGTTCCAAATCTTGTGTAGGGAAAAGCGACCTCTTGAGCGGATGGGCCGACGTCTCTGGCTCCCTACTCGTGAAAGGACTTGCTCAAGGGTAGAGTCAAGAGGTATAAAATCCGAATCACTGCTTAAGGATGTATTGTGAAAGGCATCATAGGCTATACCAGGTAACATGAGGCGATGCTTGGTCCCTTTGAAAATTTGCTTGCTAGCAGTGAGACTGTGAGAACGAGATGGAGGCATGACGGGCAACCCATTCCCAGGATATCTCGACTCGTTTGAACTACAACGAGCATCCCAGGAACATCTCCTTGAAAAGGCACTAAAGTTCGCCGCCAATGTCACTGCACAGAGAGGAAGGAAACCCAGACGGACAGAGTCGTTCATTGTTCCACTAGAAGGTTCACACGGAGGTATGAACGAAGCCTTGACACAAAGAGCCCACAGATCTGCATATATGCGACAAACAACGTAGACATCGCCGTCCACGATCGTGAATTCATCAGACTGTCGTTCGTGGTCAAGCAAAGTATACGAGGGATCGATGCAAATGACTAGTGACCCTTCTTGTAGAGCCCATCTCTCCCCAGCATCAAGCCGTATGTCCTTTTGGAATTTCAAGCGTGTGCAAAGACCTGGTTTCACTTGATGATAGGAACACTCTGATGGGCGAATGTTCGGCAAAGGCTCGTCTGAAGATAAAGGCCGGTCCAGCCAGCTGCTCGCAGTGATTGAAGTTGATTTGCGCCACTTTGGCTTGCAAGTTTCCCAGCCTACCTTTGAACGCAATCAATTAGTATGGCATACATTTCCCGAGTGCAATAACATCTCTCACTAGAAGTGGAACACCCGCTGATACTGACACACTAGCATCGATACTAGCAAGGGTATCCGCGGTGGCAGCTGTCACTTTGCAGAAGACGCCGTGGTCATGGTTTATTGACCAAGGGTTAGACCCACGTTCCTTATACAGGGCGTCCAGAGTCTTGCGGAGACTATCACTATCGCAACTACACTCTTCCTCGGATTTATAACACATTTTACAGCCTGCAAAGGCCGTAGCCTGATCCTCCGCCTGAGCCGAACTGGAGACCCAAACCGGAGGCCTATGGAAATAGACACCATGTCGTCGCCTTCGAGTCACAGAGTCCTGCAGGTATGCTGAGTCCGACCAGTCACTGAAATCCGCAAACAAATCATCAGAGGAATCTGAACTTGACGTATCCGCGTAACGCGCACCCACGGGATTTTGGTTCTTGTCCGTCCATGAGGCCGTGTCAGAGCTGCGCATGTTTGCGGATGCAGCCATATCATATACTAAAATAAGTCAGACGAGGAGAAGATATGCAACAAATATTATGTCTGCACTGTAACCTTGTAGTTCTTTGAATGGTTGAAAGCATTGAGCGTGTAGTTTCCATATGGATCTTGAGCGAGGCCATGGCTTGTTCGCAGCTTCCTTCGCATGTAAACAAACACTCGTAGACCCCCCAAGGAAGGTGCACTATACCTATCATTCCTATCAAGAGATCTATACTGTTACTGAGGACATCATATTTAAGTACCTTAGGACCCTCAAATCCTTGTCCCAAGGAAACGCTCAACCGGCCCATGTTAATTCAAAACACTAATCACGATAAATCCATAGCCCCAAATTATTTATCTCAGCCGCGCGTCACTCATTAACCATTGATCAGATACTATGAAGCCCAACATGACTGATAGAAAGGGTCCAAAATCCGAACCTCGGCATAGGCGACTAGCAGACAACCGACCAACCAATGACATCCCCTCCGGGTATAAAAAGGGCGGGGGCAGCAAGTCGACCTGCAGTTCCAGACCCTGAACTCCATCTCAATTAACCATATCAAGTTCCCAAGGCGTGCTTGAACGCTACCCACATTAAAAACCATGGCTGCACCCCGGATAACATTATATTTGGATATTGTTAGCCCATTCGGGTATATCGCCTTCCATGTATTGAGAGTATGTGTGCCATTATGGCAATACATTATAACACCCAAAGATCCATTTCCAACTAAGTCTATATGTATCTGGATGGAGCTGGCTGACACTATCGGAAGAACTCCCCTGTCTTCGCCAAGTGCAATGTCACCTATGTCCCCATCTTCCTGGGAGGATTGATGAATGCCTGCGGAAATACGCCTCCCGTGAAGATTAAGAGTGAGAGATCATCTCGGATACCATCTACCTTGACCATAACAGGACTAATATTGTTCTTAAATTTAGACAAGGATGTCTGGATCGGAAAGGAACGGCTCCGTTGGGCGCGTTACTTCTCCGTTCCCATGATCGAGAGCACCCCGGAAGGCTTCCCGCCGTTGACTTTGGCGACGGAACGCGCGCTCTGTGCCGTCTCGGTGAAGTCGCCGGGGAAGCTTATCCCGACTATCGAGGCCCTCTATCATTCATTCTGGGTGCAGGGGAATGCTAAGATCGGACAGGTCGAAGGGTTTACTCCGGTGCTCGAGAGTGTCTTGGGGAAAGATGGGACTCAGGAAATTCTGCAAGCTGTTCGTGAATTCTGGACTTCAACTTTGGTGGTATATTGTCACATGCTAATTGTTGATTCACAGATGAATCACGCAGAGGTCAAGGAACGTCTGAAGGCGAACACAGATCAAGCTTTTAAATCCGGTGCTTTTGGCATTCCTTGGTTTGAATGCACCAATACCAAGGGCGAGACGGAGGGTTTCTGGGGAATTGATCATCTCGGCCAAGCGGCAGACTTTTTGGGTCTGGATCGCGGTTCGGACAGGGGATTCAGAGCGGTTTTGTAGAGTCGCGTGGAATTGTGGGAGTTCAGGGAGCATATATTATCCACATGGGTGCACGTTTTACTTCATATTTGGCTGTTTCTCTTTCAATGCGGTTCTTCTGTGAGATTGACGTTACTCATAAAGTTGACACATAAGCCACTATCTTCTCCTTGGTAGACGAGCATCGCTTCTATTCTTTTCTCGGAGGAACTCGGCAATCTTCTCGTTGTCCATCTTGTCAATAAGGTCGATCTCGTCCTGGCTGGGTGAGGTATCAACTTCTTCAAAATATTGTTAGCCCAACAAAGTACTATTGGGGAGAGAATGAACGAACTCACCTTGGGTTTCGTTTTTACTTCCGGTAGCCATCGAGCGAACCTGCTCCCAAACGTTCTGCACGGACTCATTGGTGGCCGCAGTTGTGAGTTTGTTCTTAGCCTCGTTGATCGAATTTCCCGCGACACTAGCGATACTATTCGTGACATTCGTGAGTGAGCTCTCCGAAGCCGTGGAATCATTACGCGGCGCATCATAGGCCTGTCCTTGAGTCGCTGTAGTCGAGATTGTAGTGGACGCAGTAGACGCAGTATGGTCTGCAGTTGCAAAATTCTCGGTTGGCTCCATGACTAAAATCGCATCCACTCAAACCAAATATCAAAAAGTTTTATCTTGACATGACAGTCGGTGAAAAGTAAACATGAGGCTATTGTTATCTACTTAACCCCACCCCCCCCCCATTATCCCGCCGATGACATCAACAGCAAGAATGATATCATTGGAGCCAGCCCTACAAGGCTGGGCTACTCGCATGGAACCACATGGGTTCCCACGTTAGGAAACAATCACCTACGGAATATGCTAGGCAGCCATATTCTCTTCTTCATCTCCTGTCCGCAATTTGTTCAACCGTGGGGTGGAACAAGTGAAGTAATGGACGCGCAATGGATTGACTCGACGGCCGGCTATAGTCATTAATCCGAGACAGGCGGTGGGAAGTGACAGAATAGCATAGAGATTGTTTTCCCCTTTGGGTTAAGTGAGCAAGGGTTCCACTCGTCAGTCTCCGTTGCGGAGATCGAGTCTGTAAATCCGGCCTTTGCTGCATGATTGCTTTTATCTCCGCCTATGGGGGAACCAGACACACAACACAGTTCTGGAAACACCGTATCAACTGTAGGAAATGTGATATAAATACTGGAGCGGTACCTCTCTTCATGTACCTCATTTAGAACAATAACAATAAAGCCCCACTATTGCAATCACCAACTCCAACATAACATCCACCCCAGATAACCACCCTCAAAATGTCCTTCCCATACAAGCACTTCCTCCTCATCGGCGCAACCTCAGGTATCGGCAAAGCAATGGCCGACCGTCTCATCGAAAGCGGCGCCAAAGTAACAGCAGTAGGAAGACGTCAAGACCGACTAGACGAGTTCGTGCGCCAACACGGCGAAGATAAAGCGAGTGCAATCAACTTCGATATTAGCAAAACAGGACAAGCACCTCAGTTCGCCAAAGATGCGTTCACGAAGTACCCAGATATCGACTGCATTTTCCTCAATGCAGGCGTGCAACGTCGCTACAATCTGACGAGCCAGGAGACATTCAAGCTGGATGAGTTCCTTAGTGAAGTCCATGTCGATTTCACGAGTATTGTGACTCTTGCTCATGCTTTCTTGCCTTATCTTACGGCGAAGACGGAGCCTGTGAGCTTTATTTTGTGAGTTCTTCGAAAATTATATATGGCTTATATTGTTGGTGTGTGAACGAACAGGGGCTGATTTGATATACTAAGTACTGGGACAAACCTCGCCATTGTCCCAGCTTGCCCAATGCCGGCTTATTCGGCCGCAAAAGCGGCGTTGAATGCATTCATCCTTTGTTTTAGGGAGCAGCTCAAGTCGACAAATGTCAAGGTGATCGAGTTGTCTCCTCCCGCTGTGCAGAGTAAGTCTGATCAAATCATCACTTCTTTTCTAGTTTTAGACCAATATGCTCATAGGCGAACTCCACGACTACATGACACCTGAAGTGGGACGTAAGGTCGGGATGCCGTTGGATCAATTCATCGACGAGGCATTTGCTGGGTTCCAGGCTGGTAAGGATCAGGTTGTGGTTGGCAGTGTTGTAGACGAGAAGATGTTCTATGAGGTTCTCAACAAGCGACGGGATTTGTTTGAGAATTTGTCCAACTTGATGGGCTCGGCTTAGAATGTTAATACAGTAACCAGAGAGGACTACTATGTATATAACCATGCAGAACAGATATCTAGGAGCGCGCCGTGCGGGCCGGGATCTGTGATCTATAATATCGATAACGCAGTTCATACTAGTATAGAAATGTTATAGTTGCTCTGGGCGACGGCCGCGATGCTAAGATGACCATTTGCAAATATTGTAAGATGATGGGATAGATAGTGGATCTGATTTGAAGTTAAATGTTGAGGAATATTTATATCTATCGGCTGCTCCTTAACTAAAAATAACAAAGGTCTGGTTGCCACTCAGTAGAAGCAAGAGTACATATTAGGGCTTTTACCAATCGGGAATAGCGGCGCCCGCCGCATTGCCCCTCCGCCGCTTTTTATCGGAATCAAACCCATTCTTCCCGATCAACCCATGCATTCGCTACTTTTCTGTCTACAGTCTTTACCTCGGATGTTATAGAGTTAGACTTGTTTTCGCATCGCATATATATACTCACTACAAAAAAAAAAAAAAATAGACCTATAGACAAGAAACCCCATTCATTCCAACCGACCCATACGGTATAAAGCGAAAAATGTCCCCGATCCCTATCACTATCGTGACCGGCTTCCTGGGCTCAGGAAAAACCACCCTTCTCCTCAACCTAATCCCCCAACTCCCGCTGAACTACCGCCTGGCCCTTCTGAAAAATGAATTCGGTGACGTTGCGATCGACTCCCAACTAGCCTCGACACAATCCATCTCCGGCGTCCGCGAACTCCTGAACGGGTGTATCTGCTGTAACCTCGTCGGCCAACTCAGTGATGCGCTGAACCAGCTCCGTGAGGAGGTCAAACCGGATCGTATTGTGATCGAGACCAGTGGGAGCGCGTTCCCCGCGACATTAGCGATGGAGGTGAATCGTCTGGAGCGCGAACAGCCAGGCAGCTTTGTGCTGGATGGTGTGATCAGTGTGATTGACGTGGAGAACTGGGAGGGATATGAAGATACATCGTATACGGCAAAATTGCAGGCAAAGTACACGGATTTGATCATTTTCAACAAGTGGGAGAAGGTGTCGGAGAGACGGTTCGATCTTTGCCTAGATCGCGTGGGAGATCTGGAGGTGCAAACGCCGTATGTGAAGTCGGATAAGGGAAAGGTGGACAAGGATGTGCTGTTGGGGATTGATGGGGCTTTGTTTGCGAAGGATGATGGGGCTGGACTTACCGACGGGCATCATGATCATGACCATGATCATGGACATAAGCATGATCATCAGTCCGAGGTGGAGGTGCTTTCTGTCACGCTGAAGTCCGCCCAGCCTGAGCAGGCAGTTGATGTATCTGCCCTAGAGCAGTTGCTGCTCTCTGCGCCCAAGGATGAAGTCTATCGGATTAAAGGTATCATGCGTTGCTCTACACAATCGCCCCCGGCTGAATCGTCGGATGCCCTGGCCGAACCCAGACCCGCTGCGTCCCATGACGGAACGACCAGGCATTATATCCTCAACTGGGCCTTTGGTCGTTGGACCTTCACACCCTCCGAAGTTGTTGCAGAAACGGCTGACCCAGGCGTGGCTGCTCGCATCACATTCATTTTGGCCCGGTACGAGTCCGGAAAATGGAAGAAGAAGCTGGAAGCCGGTGGCTTGGTCCAGATTGGAGAGGGAAATGAAGGGGCGGAGCTGGTTGTTGAGCGACTTGTCTAGACGGCTGTGGTATCTTCCTCTCTTTTTGATTTTGAAGTGGAGCTGGCTTCTGCGACGCTGACGACTGTCATTGAACATAATATGAAATGGGATGGGTGATGCACATGGTGATCATGAACGGGTATCATGGATAGACCACGAGTTACAAAAGAGAAAGAAATAGAAATCTATATGGATAAAATAGACACGAAACGATGCGCCCTTTGTCTATATCCAAGGCATTGGTGAACGACTAAATCTATGCAAATCCAAAAGTTGGAAGGGCAGATGAGGGTCTATACAGTATAAAACTCAATTCAAATCCCGAAATCTACTTCGTCAAACACAATGTAAACAAAAAAGCTGCAGTCAGGACAACACAAACAAGTTTCCAAGAAACAGCTCTGTACTCTCCTCCACATCAACAACCCACAAAACAACGAGTGTAGACACAGAGCCAAAAAAAAAAAAAAAATTACTAAGTACTAGTACTCGAGGAGAGCAGAAGCACCGGCTTCGCTCGAGATGTAGATCACCTCGTGATTGTCGGAGAAGCCGTTGAAACGGGTGGCGCTACACTTGGTATAGGCCCCCATCTCCTCGAAGAACAGCCAGTCACCGACGTCCAACAGGCCAGGTAAAGTGATCCGTTGGCTGATTACGTCGATGCCATCACAAGTGGGTCCCCAGATAGAGTAGGCGATGCCATTCGAAGTCGCAGCATTCGAGGCATTCGCACAGGTCAGAATCTGAGCCACCGGATGCTGGTGGTCAAAGATGATGTTGGAGAAGTTCCCATAGACCCCATCGTTCAGGTAGATCATGTATGCATCGTTGGCCGGGTTCTCGGGGTCTCGCACGTCGCGACGGGCGATCACATTGGCGGCCAGAGTGAATGCGGTCGCCACGTAGTAGCGACCAGGCTCCGCGATGACACGAATATGAGGTGGGAAATACGTGTCCAATGCCTCACTCAGGACACCAGCAAACTTTTCAAAAGTGTCTCCGGTAAAGCCGCCACCGACATCCAAGGTGTGCAATTCGTGACCAATTTCAGCAGCCTGGTCAAACACCATCCGGGCATCCTGGACCGCCTTGACGAAAGCAGTCGGGTCTTCCGCGCCCGAGCCGACGTGGAAGCTGACGCCAACCACCTTCAGCTCGAGCTCGTGGGCCAACTCCAGGAGTTGGCGGGCGATGTCCAGAGATGCGCCGAACTTCATGCTCAGGCGGCATAAACTGGTGGAGTCATCGGTCAGGATGCGCAGATAGAGCTCCGCATCAGGGAAGCAGGCCTTGATCTTGTACAGCTCGTCGGCATTGTCGAAGGTCATCTGCTTCACGCCCATCTGAGCGGCGTAGCGCAGGTAGGACTTGGTCTTGCAGGGCTGCGCATAGATGATGCGGCTGGGGTCAACGCCCGTGTCAAGAGCCATGTCGATCTCGGCCTTCGATGCACAGTCGAAGCCGTTACCAAGCTTGGCCATCAGGCGGAGAATCTCCGGGTCCGGGTTGCACTTGACCGCTAATATGACCGTTAGCCTTGCACGTTCATACTCCAAACGCGTGGTCGGCACTAGATCCAAACCTACCATAGAAAGGCCTGACGCGGCTCAAGTTCATTTTCCAGCGTAGATGCTGTCGGTAGACCTCGCCCATGTCCGCCACATAGAACGCATCCTCGTCTCCAGGGGCGCAACGGTCGGTATTGACTTCACCGGCGCGTTTCTTTAACACGTCCAAGACGAGATCCTTGGCCGCCAACCTGGATTGCGAGAGATCATCCCCTCCATTGTTGCTGATTTGACTCAAATTATGGTTATAATTAAAGTCGGATTTGTCTTGACTATGTTTAGTCATGCATATCTCAGCAGGGATACACGCAGTCGGTGCCATAACCATGTGCGCTGCGACGATGCACAAAGGTGAAAAGTAAAAAGATTAAAAAAAAAGTTTTGAGTTACGCGACTGCGTGTTAAGGAGGGCGAAAACTTTCGCAACCGTAGTTGACTGGACCAAGCCTCCTAGACCCTTCCTCCTCAAGAGGAAGAACCTTCAGAGAAGTCCTATGCGGCAGCTCAGGGGGCGAGGGGATGAATTGCGAGGGCGTCAATGGGTTAATAAATGGCGCGCCGGACGAGAACACACGAGGGGAAACCAGCAGGAGGTGGTATGTTGTTAAGAGTGCCGCGGGGACGTCGAGGATAGACAATTTGACGGAAACGTACGAACGAGGCTCCGGGAGCCGTGGTGAGCTAGAGCCTTTGGAATTGAGGTGATTCCAAAGGCCAGTCGTAGGTGCGACGGAAAATCAGGTAATAGGCGGAACAGTGTCGGCCTAGAAAATGGGGACCTGACGCAACAGAACCAAAACCAGCGGTCAGCAAGGTTGGAAACGAAGCTCTGACCCTCAACTGGAGTGAGAGATTTAATGACGCGGGGAGAAGAAAAGGGGAAGAGGTCGTGAAGTGCAGAGTTTTTTCATGCTGGACGACCCGGGGCGTTCGGTGGAAGCGCACTTAGGGCAAAGGGCTCACACCGTCAGGCAGAAATTGGCAGGGGAGGGGTGGAAATCATTCCAGATCAGGAAGAGACTGAGCGTCGGCAAGGATGGTATCGGCATGCTCAAAGGGGAAAAAAACACTCACCTGAAAAAGCAATTGGGGTATGATGGAGGGAGGGAGGGAGGGAGAGAGAGAGAGTCGAGCAAAGAAGAGAGGCTTTTTTTTTATTCGGTCACCCAAGCTGAAGAAGGATGATGACTGATGATTGAATCAACGTTGGTTCTCGTGGGGTGCTTACGGCATCTCCCGAAGAAAACTTGACCACCCCTCTTGATTTAAAGGGTATCCATACCGTCCCGTAAGTTTTCCGCTAGTAGCCACCGCAGCGTCACATCCTGTATGTATGTAATAATGTATCATGCTAGGCCCATCCATGTCGGTTCCTGCTGTTCCAGCTTCGCCCCTGCAGGTCTGGACGTAGTCGATCCTCCCGGTTGGTGGGATTGCTTGGATCCATGGACATCCCCTCCTTTCCCCCCCAAAAATAAACATAAATAAAGAGAATAAAAATGAGAAACAGAATTTAACCTTTGGCCAGATTTTTGATCAAGGATAGTCGAATATTTCCCTCATTGCCAACCACAAAACCTCTGGGGTCTGACTCCGAGTCCGGATTTTAGGCAGACCATCATAGATCATCTTCTCTCTTCATTTGAGTTTCCGTGGACGTCGGGTCAGGAATTCATGCATATCATGAGGAACGTAGTGAACTTTATCAATCCGAGTTAACCCCCTTTCATCCATGCCTGCATCATTCTCAGCTCCATTGTCGAAGCCGATATCTTGCCTGCGCCTCGGGTATAGAAACGGTTCCGCGATGTAATAGATTATATTCCGTGTTCGATCATTGGTTGATCTGGTGATCCATCTGAAATGTATTACCTCCGGAGCTTCTCACGGGAGCTCCATCTACGAATCCACCTGGAGGGGCACATCGGCATGTCACGTGGTCTGTAGTTCCCTGCCATCAGCGACTCTACGTGACATGACGACTACTGTTCAAACTGTCGTCATTGGAGTAACATCTACAATTTGCTCTTCTTTATATGTACGCCCAATCTTTGAGATCACCAAAAACATAAAAATGGTAAGTTGTATCCTAATCAGCCTTTACCATTCTAGATTCCGATTGTGTAAATCACACTTTAGGGTAAATACTATGACTCAGCCACACCTTTCCTTTGTAGACTTGTTTCTTTTCCTTTTTTTTTTTTTCCTTTTCTCTTTTGTAGTTCTCTGGTTCCACTTAGATGTGATCAGGTGTCGTACTACGGATGGTCTCACTTCTTGGAAGAGATAATTCAGAGGTTTTAATGCGTCGTATCTAATAGTGAACTTCAATACACCAGACTACTCCAGAATCTACTTCACTGAGTTCCAACTGGTTCTTCGTTCACGTATAAGGGATTGCTCCTATAAATGCCATAGCCAGGTCAACCAAAATGACTACATGGGCTCGAGCGGAGAAAATTACACCAGATACGCATGTTTGGGATGGATGACGGGCAAATAGAAACGGGTGAGCTCAATCTGGAAGGTTGGAGATTATCTCGTAGCGCTAGAAAAGCATAAGTACTTAACGAGGACCATTATACGATGTTCATATCTATCTCCTTGCTACTTCAGTACATGAAAACCAACTACTACTGACCACCTGCCAACTCCTTTTTCGCATTTAATATGCATAATTGGTCATACGGAGATTCCAGCTATCCATATATCCATTGATGATATCGAATTACCCTCGTGACAAGAAAGCGAGTAAGGACGAATGACCAGCGTATCTCCGTTGCCTGTTGACCAGTTACTTTCTGCCCATTATCATTGACCGACTCTTGGGAAACATGGATCTATGAAAGACTTTTGATCGGGAAAAAGGTTCTTTACTAGTGCCATACAATGACCCATTGGTTAATCTCGACCATTGTTTCGGAATGGCTTTATTGTTGATGTCAACGTGCCTTGCAAGCATGATGCTGTCTCTCGGTATTTGTATTTATGCCAGATTTCGGTCACTGTCGGGATGGAAAGTTACAATAAGGATTCTTTGGCTATAAGATGGTTTTATGTCTCTCAGTGACTGGTGACTCCCTAAGGAGAAAGACTGTGTGGTAGCCTTGTTACCGCCGATGAAGTATTAAGACCGCCCATGTGCGGTATAGTAGCATATTCTATGAATGCCCGCAAAGGGGTACGCACAAAAGCTCTTGGATTAAAACAAAGTGAGTAAATATGTACTAAAACATGGGGTGAGAAAAAAAGGTAGTTGCGGTCACGATGAGCAAAGCAGTCTCAAGGAAAGGGGTATATAGAGATGGATTGAAGAAAAATGAAAATAGTAAGATAAAAAAGGAACGAAAAATCTTCAGATAGTAAGAAGACCCATCACAGCCAGAGTACCCACCTAACACCAGATATTACTCCTCGGAAAACACCGCGTAAAAGCTTGAAAGCCATGACAATCAACCATACCCACCACAATATTCCAACAAGGGCCCATTCGAGCATCACAAATCCGGTACGTCGTATCCAGCGTAACCGGCGATGTCGCCTCCGAATTCCTTTGTCGAGCGTGTCGCTCAGCTGTTTCACCGCGAGGGTGCTGGTCGTATTGAGCTGAATGCTCAAATCTTCCGCATCTTGTGCGGCAGCCCGCACACGTGGATTGAGCGAATTGTTGACGAGATCTTCAAGTTCGCCGAGGTGAGATCTCAGAGCTGACGTTTTAGCATCAGGATAACTATCCATCGATCGCGTGAAGAGCTCCTCCGACTTCTCAAACCTCCTTACTAAGGCTTGAACAGCAAGATCGAACTCATGCGACCGGGGCACCTCCGGAACTGGCATGTCGGAGCCAAACGCGCGTCGAAGAAACTCAGGCGGAGGACTTCGTACAGTATGAGCCCGGCGAGTGATCTCTCGCGCCTTGATACCTGAAGAGAGAAGGAGCGCACGGGTACGTTCGACTTCTCGTTTTGCCGGGACTCCGGATTCTATCGAGGTAGAAACACTGCGCTCAGAGATACTCCAGCTTCTGGACTGGCTGGATGACGTGGAACGCCTTTCGTGGGAGGACGGTTCATGTGATGCCTTTGCTTGTGCAAGGCCCGTGATCGGGGGCCGAGTGAGACTGTATGGCACAGATGGATCCTTTATTCGGCCTTTCTTAATTTGTTCTCGGATAGTATGTAGCTCAGGGCCAAAAGTTGGAACCTTCTCGGGTTTCTTGCGGGCATCGGGCCTCTTCTGCTTAGATATCAATAGAGCTTCGTCTTTGCTTTCGGTATCCCTCGTGCTCTTCATCTCTGACTCCGAAGAAGCCTTTTGAGGACTACCCAAATCAGATCTTCTATGGCCCTCAGATTGATCGCCCTGGCGGGGGGGAGATGGAAAGGGTGACGGCGCAGATAGGTAATTTTTCCCAGATGCTTTCTCTGACTCCCCACGAGCTGCCAGACTGAAGTCCTCAGAGAATGTCGGGAGACGACGTAATGGGGTCTTGAGATCAGGGGCCCTATCACCTTTTGATTCTTCGGCATCGGTTAGGATATTCTCCTCGTCGGACGTGACGTGTGATTCAAAAGAAGATTGTCGCGAATGGGCCAAGGAATCTTTCTTTAGAATAAGACCACCCATTTTTGACACTTCATTACCAACCTTTTCAGCGATCTTCCCAGGGCCTTTGAAGATGCCACGGAGTTTGGACTCATGCTGTGCCAGCCCTTTCCGTACTTGCTGGCTCGACCTTACCCGGCCATCTTGATGCGTAGAGGGAATTTGATTTGGAAGTGGGCTCGGTTCCAGTCTACCAGTGCGAGGCAAACCCTCTGAGTATTCCGATAAACTGTTGATACGTAGTACCTCTGATTCTAGGGAACTATTGTCGACGGCATCTTTAGGTCGCGAGTTGCTCTTGCTTCTCTCCCGGCGAGGGATGATGGCACGTGGGAACCGTCCTTTCGACGGGGATGGTGACCGGCTTGATGGAGGCGATAAATTGGATGCAATACTCGGAAAGAAAGTGGGTTGAATAGGCGTGAGTGGCGCTCTTCCATCGGCTGTCAATGAGGATGTCAAACGGTCATAGCGGTCATCCACACTTGGCGCTGAGGATATAGACTCCCTTTGTTCTTGGGATTTAGTACGGTCCGAAGCTTTCCAAGGTCGTTGAAAGCTAGAGCTCTGTGGCGACATATTTTTCATTTCTAGAGAACTCTCTTCATCTAGTGGGGCGGCATATCTTTTTGTTCTTGATGGGTCGGGCCTTTGAGAAGTAGACCTCTTAGGGGATACCATACACTCTTCCTGGTATTTCCAATATTGCTTGTCATCTCGGCTTGACGCGCTTGAAGAGCTGCTTGATCGCCTTCGTAATTTGTGTCTTCCACCACTGCTGCGAACGATATGAGAAGGACCTTGAAATCTATGCCGCCGTCTCCCCCGTCCAATCCGTTTGAACTCGGGTGTCAGCCCAGGGTGAGCGTCCGATAAAGAAGTGCGGGAGGTCGGCTGGTCTGTGTCTACCGACTCCCGCCTGGATGGGAGCTCTTCTTGAATGCTCCTAGTTTTGATTTTGAGGGCATCGGATGGGATCAACATTACGGGATCGGGGTATAGATTATTCCCATCTTTATCGATAAGCTTGCTTTTATTTTGTATATCCTCAACCCACGCGATATCAGCCAAAAGTTCTGGTGGGGAGATCATCCAATCAGATTTTGGTCTGCGAGCCTTTACGCTGCTCGCACGACTGGCTCGCCTCAGACTGGAGGAAGGAGAGGCTGCGATAATCTCATCATCCTCCGGTTCTTTATGTGACAAGTCCTTCGAGCCTTGATGGAAAGGTGGGAGCTTCAAGCATTCGAAAGAGCTATGATCTTGTTGATTGTACTGGTCCCTGATTAAGTCGACCCATTCATGAACTTTGCCGACATTAGTCCAGCCTTCTGCTTCCGTATCGATGGGACATCGCTCGCGGAATCTAACTTTGCGGTTCCGGATAGATTGAAGAGGGTTGTACGAGCGACCTGGAACGGGGACGCCAGCACCAGCTGAAGTAGAATCTGGGTCCGCGTGTGCCTCGTACGGTTTCAGAGGAGGAAGCGAAGGAAGCAATCGGAGATATTCTGAGAAGAGCTCGAAATGGCACCGGGCCTTCTCAGCTCGAGCAAGCGTGCCGTCCGAAAATACGTGTGGCAGGGAGTTTGAATTGGCAGAATCGGGCAGCAGATTTAAGACAGAAGACGGTGCATGCACGGCGTGGTCCACATGTGAGGCGCCCAAAAGCTTCGAGCGATCATCAACGGGCATCTGACTAAAGCTGCGTTGAGGATAAGGGCCGTCATTTTGACTGCCCAGTGCAATAGGTGCACGGCTTTCACTAGGTGAAACAGAAGGCTGACCTGCAGACGCGGTCCATCCTCCTCCCGCAACGCGGCCGGAAGGCACTCGACCATGAGTATTTACTCTTCTAGATTCGCTCAAATTCAAGGCCAGATTGACGATTTGCAATGAGTCCCTATCCAGGCCCAGGGGAGCCTCGCTTCTGGCTTCCGTAGTTTGTGACGGATCAAGTACTGCATCTTGTCGTGAATGTAACGGACCAGAGGTTTCTTGGGAAACTTTTCTCTCCGGGGCCGCTGCTGGAGATTCCTTAGTTGACTCTTTTTGGCGGCTCCAAGGAAATCGCGATCGCTTCTTGGGTACCACAATCTCCGAATCGGGGGGTGTTCCACGCTTCTCCCTTCGCTCCGATTCCGAGTGATGAGCGCGATGATAACTATGTCGGAGGCTACTTGATCTGGGTAGGAATGAAGAGTCCAGTAAGAAACCTCCTGAGCTGTGTGTTCGTCGAGATCCTCGGCCACCCTTATCCCCGTCGCGGGAGCTGCTACCGAGTGTGCTGCCTTCCAGCTCCCCACTCTCTCGTCCTTCGCTCATTCGCAGGCTCCTTTGCCGGCCGGGTTTGTCGTTGGATTCAAATCGACGAGAAGAGCGCCACGAGCCAGATCTAACCGGTTTCTCTTCCACTCTGGGGAGAGGATTTGGTGGCGTAGGCGATGCATCGGTCCTCTGCGACATCAGAGCCAAAGCGGAGTGTTGTTCGGTCCCGGGCGATAGAAAAAGGGGGGGTATGTGACGGTGATCGAGGGACTCATGAGGACCGTCAAGGTCAATACCGATGGCTTATCATATTCTATTAAAGGGAACCTGGCGACACGATGAAGTTGAAGGATTTGAAGGCCCCTTTCATTGTCGAGGTAAATAGTGACGATCACTTTTAAGTTGTACGGAGTACAGTACTGTATTGTTATCTACCCCATACCTTTCCGTGACGACGGATTCCTGTAACGGGTATAGTGCGTCCACTCTGAGGAAGTGCCGCCTTCAGGCAGCTGATTTACTCCGAAGTAGTAAAGTAGTAATTCCTCTTGGGAACACTTTCTTAGCATGGCTGAATGCTACCTAGTAACATTTCTCTCTCATCTGTAGAAGTGCCTAACCAGGAATCTTTAGTTCTACATACAAAACAGCCGCCATTCTATCTTTCACTCATAATGACTGACACCGCTATCGATGCCTATATAGACAACTTGGCTAGGTATGATGATTGAAGTAGCTTACTATGACAGACGAGGAAACTGTCCCCACAGTTGAACTATGACACTGGGAGAAGATGGTGTGGTGGTGGTGAAATATCATGGATTTGGGGTGGAGAGCACCACTTACTACCCACGCATGCATGTTCTCTTCACTCGTCACCATTATTCTAGAGTAGTAGTCTCAGCTTGTCGGACATGCAAGTATAAGCTTGACAAACATCGTTGCGTACGGGCCTGTAGATAAACACAGTGACGAGACAAAGGGAAGGGTCTAGTATTGAGGTCTAACGACGCAAGAGAACAACTAGAGGTACAGGTGCTGTGAATAGAAGGCAAGAAAATTACAGGAAACAAGGAATCGACGTTATATATTGATCTATTCAACTCTCAGGCACTGAAGACGAGCCTCAGTTTCAATGACCTGCCAAATCAATGAGTTAGCTTGGAATTGTTAAGGAGGAATGACTTTTATGTTTAGGAACCATACCTCTAGAGCTTGCTTCACTTCCAGGACTCTGCGCACGTCTCCGAGCCAATCCTTGCTCAGAATCTTTGCCCACCCCTTCAGGCTGTTCATCTCACGTGCAGCGGCATCAAGGTCACCCTCTTCCAGGAGGCTTTCGGTGCGAACAAGGACACTCTCAACATCATCGCTGTGGGCAGCAGGGTCCTTCTTGAACATGACCTTGCTCAAGACGAGGCTGGCAGCGTGGCTAGCAATGCCCGCATCCTCAGGTAGAAGGCTTGCCTTGCGAACCTCATCAGCGACGCGGCGGAAACGCTCAATGATTTGAGACTTTGAGGGAATGCCATGCTGGTATGCGGTAGGATTGATAGATGCAATCGCAGCCTCAACCACAGGATCTTCCGCAGCGAGTTCCTTCACAGCAACAAGCTCTCGAACAAATGGACGAGGGGCCGAGGAGCGCTCAAGGACGGAGCGGACTGCATCCACAGCGACTTGAAGTTGCTGGGTCTTCAGGTTAGTATCGATCACATCCTTCCAACTGCTAGTAAGCTTTTCCAGCTCGCTAACGTTGGCGGTCAGTTCGTTGAGCTTGCTAAGACGGCCCTCACGCTCTCGCTCGACAAGATCCTTCACCTCGTGGAGGTACTTGCGATTGAGTTCAATGGCTTGTTCAACCAATTCATTCTGAAGACGCTGTTCAGCAACTTCTTGAGCTCTCTGAAGCTCTGTCTGGATCTTCTCTTGGTAAGCAAAAGCCAATTTCTCCCGCTCCGACTCAAATTCCTCCCGGAACTGGGCAGCATCAGCAGCGCGCGACTCCTCAAACCGGCGGATAAGCTCGCGAGCAGACTCGTCGAAAGTGGCATGGGCTTTGGTGATCTCCTCCTGCGCTGCGCGACGGGCTTCTTCTCTGACCGCGATGATCTTCTCCCCAATCTTCTGGAGCTCCTCCTTGGCTTTGGCAACAGGCGTAGAGTACTTGCCAGAGTTCTCGTCGGCACTAATAACAGTGATGATGTCGTTGAAAGTCTTCACCAACTCTTGCACAATGGCTTCATCTCCCTCATTGACCTGAGCGAACTCCAAGGTTGTCACAGCAGGCAGTGCTGGTTGTCTAGGTTCCTCGGCGTTCTTATCACTGCTCTTGGGTGCCTGATCCTTAGCGGCCTTGTCACTCTTAGCCTTCTCGACGGCGGCGGTCTTATGTTCAGGCTTAGCACTCTCGGTCTTGATTTGGGCTTCGTCACCCTTGACAGCACTCATATGGGGGCCTTTTTGAGAAAGATCGCTTCCAGAACCCTGCTCCTCTGCAGCCTTCGAAGTAAGACCACTCTCTCTTGGGATTGTAACCTTCCTGCTCTCATCCTTGTGTCCAGAGATGCGGGCCTGACCCTTCAGAGTGTTCGGGAAACGACGATAGAAGTCCCGTTCCTCGAAGTAGAGAACAGCCTCTTCGCCATATGGAATGTATTCCGTAAAGAAATCATGGAAATTGTCGGACTTCAATGCAAGGAAGACACCTCCACCGTAGGCGAAACCAGATGTGAGAATCAGGTAGAGAAGGAATCTTCGGAAGCGTCCCGTTTTACGAGCCGGGGCGGTTGGGGGCGGTGGAGGAGTCTGAGAATCTGCGCATACTTTAGCAACGGAGGAGTCGATGTATTCAATTGACGATAGGAATCGAACCTTGCTCACTAGGCGATGGCTTGGGAACAGTCTCCGGGGGAATGGGTGTTTCGGATGATGGGGAGACAGGGGTAGGGGCACTGGTAGGAGGTTTGGCATCGGCGAAGAATCTCTGGATGGGAAAAAATGTAAGTCAGTTGGTGTCGTGCAAGACAAGAGTGCACATGGCATCGTCATACCTGACCAGAGAGCCGGTTGCTAGCCCCAGCTCTAGACAGCCATTGCGAAGCCGTCCGTTGGCGAACGGAAGACAACAGCAGCTGCCGACCCGGTGCAACAGAAGAGCGCAGCATGACGAGCCGCACTACTGTGAAGTAAACGCTGAAGGCGGGTTCTGTTGAAGGGGGGATGTTGGCGAGAGTGAAAACGCGGACCGGAATTGGGATGATGCTTTTACGAACCGCTCCGATCGTGCACCGCCGCAGAACCTGTGGCTGGTGACCTCGGGAACCGTCGCACCGCCCACAGGAGTTGCCCGGGGCAGAATATTCTCCGTGGAACTACTATGTCCAAAGACCTACTTTGCACTTGGAGCTACGTGACCATTGATATATGCAAAAAGATAACACATGGTTATGAACTTCCCGTCAAGAATTTAAAGAAAAAGTTATTATATAGGAATAGCATACGGACGATCCCACGACGACCGAAAATAAGGGGAAGAGATGTAACATGAATTCAGCCCAACAGGAAGACATGGATACAGACGCCGAGAACAATAAAGCTGAAGAAATAAAAATAAAATAAAATAAGGGCAACTGATATGTAAAGGAAAAGCACAAAGCGCAGGCACAGTCCTGCTGCATAATGTCTAGAAAGCCAGATCCAACTAGACCTTTGCACGATATCCGACTCCCTTCTCACTAAGTAGCTACAATCGAATATCATGGCCGGAAAAAATGAAAGAGAAATGGTGACTGAGATCAGCGAAGCAATCGCATTCGGTCCCACAGCGACGACTGAATCCTCACATAATTCCTCTGGGTCATGCCCATGATCATCACGACACCGATAGATAATTAAGCATTCTGGTTTAAGTTATTGGTAGTGGCCCATAAGAGTCTCATAGATAACCTTGAAGACGTGCACCTTCCGTATCTAAAAATAATTGAAAAAGACGGGGGGAAAGAATGCGAACATGAGAGATACAGCGAGACAAAGGCGATAGCTTGTGGTTAAAATTTAGCATTGGCAGGAGTTGGCGCCCTGAGTGCCAGGGGCCTCTGGGCGCAAGTCCACACCCGGACGGGGGTTTGTGCGCAAGTTTCGAGGCCCGGCTTGATCGAGAGGAAGTTTTTTCGCAATTGCTGTAAACAGTTCCCGTACGTTCGAGGAAGTCTTCGCTGATGTCTCAAAGAAAAGCAAGCCAGCTTCACGTGCATAGGCCTCGGCATCTGCGGTTGGGATAGCTCTCTTGTCTGGGTTCTCTGTAACAAGGTCAAGCTTATTACCCGCAAGGGCGATGACAATGTTCTCGTTCGCTTGGCGTTGTAACTCTTTCACCCACGACTTGGCCTTATCCAGCGACGACTATACGACGATTGCTACGTTAGTAATTCATTGCTTCAACAAGAGCCGAGAGTCATGACCGGGGTCGTACAGCTTGTGTGATGTCGTAAACAACTACTGCGCAGTTGGCGTTTCTGTAGTACATCGGAGCTAGCGACTTGTATCTCTCCTGACCGGCGGTATCCCATATTTCGAACTTGACCGTCGTGCTTTCGTCCAGGGAAATGGTTTGTGTTAAGAAGGCAGCGCCAATTGTCGACTCCCGGTAGTCATCGAATTGATCCTTGAACAAGTAAGCGACGTCGAGCCCCCAACTAGAACCGGATATCTTAAATATCGGAAAGAATTCATTAGCTCTAAACCTACCTTGACAAATCTCAATACTAGCGAACTCTGTAATGAAAGACGTCAGCGACCGTCAAAATAACCAAAGCGAAGATAGGCCAACTTTTCCAACAGCGGATTCTCCTAGAAGGGGGGAAACGATATGTCAGCTTCTCTGATACTGGTAACGCAGTAGAGAATATTCAAAAGAAATAGCTAACCAAGCAAGACAAGTTTGAACTGAGCGAATCTGGCACCAGGACGGGCGCCTGCTGCGGCTCTGGAGGCCATGATTTCTATAGTCGGAAGAGTAACGTTGTAAATAGGTAGAGTGGCAGGAAATAAAAACCGTACACAGATGGACCGTGAGAATAAAAAGCGCTAAACGTGGAAGATTCCTTTCGACGGGAAGGTTGGACTGAAGACGGGATCGGATGCTGGGAGGAGGTTTGATGGCGGCCTGCCGGTAAGGTAAGGGTAGATGACGAAGGGATTCAGCCACACCTGGCCCAAGCCGACTGGCCGTTCTGCGGGGCGGTGTGGCGGCTTGGCTTAACCTATGTTGGCGGCAATTGGCAGGTATTATTATCACCACATGCTGCGTTCAGAGTTACAATACACAACACCCTAGGCTTCCTGAAAGATCGTCATTCCTGCTCCTGACAATCAATTTCTCTGCCTGAACCTTCTTTCTTTCCAACCATGCGGTGATTTTTTCCTTATATCCACCCACCCCACGTTCTTTAGTTTAGTTTTCATATTCCTTCCTATCTACTTCGTCTGTATTGTTGTTATCATCATCTTTCCTTTCCCCCCCTTGTCTAGATAGTGAGCTGTTGCCAACAATGGCTGCTACTCTCCTTCCGTTCCGCGATATCAACCTCCACGCCTCCTCCTCTCATTACGCTTTTACCTCACCCTCTTCACCGAGTGCTCCCACGCTTGTCGTTGACCGCCCAACAGGCGACTTACGATTGCATGATGGCACCCTTCCTGGTGCTAAGCGCATTTCCAGTATCGCCGGTATACTGGGCATGATCAAGTTGAAACTGGGTATGTCTGGTTGTAAACCTCGGCTATTAGCCTGACTTCTAATGTGACTTGCGCAGACAAATATATCATCGTAATCACCAAAGCGCTGCCTATGGGTCGACTACGCGGGCATATGGTATACAAAGTTGCAGGAACTGAGTTCTTACCCCTTCGTGAACGCCCGCTACATGACAATGATGAGGACACGTATCTGGCGCTGCTAAAAGAGCTCCTCCGCACGGGACCGATGTATTTTTCTTATGCCTTGGACCTCACCAACAGTTTCCAGCGTCAGTCGCAAAGCGATGCTAGCCTGCCGATGTGGAAGCGAGCCGATGACCGGTTCTTTTGGAACCGCTTCATTCAATCCGATCTCATAGACTTTAGCCTCGGAGGGCATGATACAACGAGCGTACGCTATGGACCCCAGCCTGGGGTTGATCCTTATATTCTTCCTGTAATGTATGGAATGTTACGCATCACTCCGGCAAAGGTCAAGTCGACTACATTTACCTTTGCTCTCATTACAAGAAGATCTAGACACCGCGCTGGGACAAGATATTTCTCACGTGGCATAGATGAACAAGGCCACGTTTCAAATTACAACGAAACTGAGCAGATTGTGATCCTGAACGATGCGACTGGTGGGCTATCGGGTTTTGCTGGAGGGCAGTCCATGAAAGAAAAAACTGGAGATTCGGGCCAGGACCTTCAGGTCATGGCTTACGTGCAGACTCGCGGTAGTGTCCCCGTATTTTGGGCCGAAGTTAACAACCTCAAGTATACTCCCAAACTCCAGGTTCGTGGGGTGGAGACGGCCGTTGATGCTGCACGAAAGCATTTTGCTGAGCAGATCCGGTTGTATGGCGAAAACTACTTGGTCAACCTTGTAAACCAGAAAGGGAGGGAGGAGCGGGTCAAGGATGCGTATGAGCAGCTCGTACGCATTTTAGTCTCTCCATCGACCGAGAGTACAGAGGTCGACGCGGTATCATCCGAGAAGATACATGCCCTTGAGCCAGGTCAAAGGCAAAAGGAATTGGACCGTCTCCACTACATCTATTTCGATTTTCACAACGAAACAAAGGGGTTGCAATGGCACCGCGCGGAATTGCTGATGGACCGTTTAATTGATGGTCTTACGCGAGGCGGTTATTTCCGTGGTGTAGAGGATCCTGGTGTGCCTGGTGGACAGCTGGATATACGATCTTCACAAACTAGCGTTGTTCGTACCAACTGTATGGACTGCTTGGACCGGACGAACGTAGTGCAGAGTATGCTTGGGCGCTGGGCGGTAACACGTCAGCTCACTGACGCAGGGATCCTACGTCAAGGTGAAGCTGCAAATGACGACCGGGACTTTGAGGATCTGTTCCGTAACATCTGGGCCGATAATGCAGACGTTGTCTCTAAATCGTACTCAGGCACCGGAGCACTGAAGACCGATTTCACCCGCACTGGCCAGCGTACTCGCGCTGGCATGCTTCAAGACTTGAACAATTCCATCACGCGATACGTGAAAAATAACCTCTTGGATGGCCCCAGGCAAGATGGGTTTGATGTCTTCTTGGGCACCTACCTTCCTCCGAATTCAACACTTGGCAACCTTCAACTTTTCCTAGACCGCCGACCCCTCATTATCCAGTCCATTCCTTATATCCTTGCTGCTGGTGTCTTCATGGTTCTAATTTCAATATTTACGAGGCGTTTGCCTGATGCTGCCGTGTGGCCTTTGCGTCTGTTCGTCATATTCTGGCTGGTGGTCTCTGCCTGGTGTGCGCGCTTCATACTTGGGCACGGGATGCTCTACGTTAGTTCCTTGCCAATTGGTTATATATGCTCCACGCTAACAAGTTGCAGGTGAACTGGCCCAAATTGAATACACCAGCTGCTGGATCCGAAGGGTATCAAGATGCGATGATCAAGGCCCGATCGGATCCTATTGTTGGGCACTTTCTTCCTTCCAGAAGGCACCAGAGGGGCTATAGCAATGCTCGACTTGGCTTTCTGGAAGAAGGGAAAACCAGGATTGAATAGTTTCTTACTCAGGCTGCTCTCATTGCCGAGTTCCTTTACATGCTATATGGTACGTGTCCGGTACACAGTTTCCCTCTTTACCTACTTTGATGTTGTGGGGTTGTGAATAGTACCACATCTATATGCGCTATCTTCTAGCCTCTCCTTGCTTTCTTTCTTATGGGATTCATATATTTTCAAGTTATCCTTCTAGCCTTAATAGCATGATCTTTCTTTGACCGTATAGATTTATTCTTATTCATATCTTGTTTTACCTTTCTTCCCTACTGCTTCCTTTGCCTTCTTCCTCCTTTCCGTTGACTTTGCAAGACTTTGCATGCACCTTTAAGAAATTTACATCGTATAAAGTGATGATGATAGAAATCGTCATATTACTAAACCCATACAAATACACATAAACTTATGATCTTTAAGAGTTGGGAAGTTACTAGTACCACCTTAGGCATTTATAGATACATTACTCCGTACAGAGTACTAGTAGTTAATATGAGTAGACTCCGTCGCTCACGTAAGCATACATGTTAATTTGGGCTGAATTTCGGAAATGCGACGAGGAACCCCTCGTGACTTAGCTCATAGAATTGTCACGTCATACATTTTCTTTATCTTCATGAGGGGGTTTCGCATACACACTCTCTATAACTATAATTCTATCCGCCGGTTTTCATTCCATCCGGCCAGAATGTCCCGCAACTATGAGGTATGCCGAGGCTTCTAAGCTATTGATCTCCAGATACTCTTCTAAAGACCGGAATACAGGCTGCAATTGCAGCATTGAATTCGCTGCAGACAAACTTCGCAGTTGTCCAACAGCTGAGGGAGACAGGAGACCGGCGACAAATGAATTTACGGTCTCTTCCCGAAACTATTGAGTGGCTCCGACGCATTGGATACCAGGTTCGCGACCTTTCCCGCGGATAATGTGAATGTTGCGCTTCCACTGTAGTAGTGGATAATTCAGGGCTGTACAGTTGATTGCTGACTGCAGTTCCACCTTTTTCTCTATATAGCCCTCCGATCTGAACCGTCTTAATCCTGTACACGTTGCTGGTACCAAGGGTAAGGGCTCGACTTCCGCTTTCATCTCCTCCATCTTATCTCAATACACTTCCCCGGTGCCCTCTGAATTAAATGATTCTGCGCCACACCTCAAAAATGTCGGCCTCTATACATCTCCTCACTTGCGATTTGCCCGAGAGCGCATTCAAATCAATGGTGCACCGCTCTCCGAAGAAAAGTTTGCTCGGTACTTCTTCGAGGTCTGGGACCGGCTTGAAGAAGCGGCTCGAGTGGCCGGTGAGAACCCGGAAGAGCTACGAACTAAGCCGCAGTATTTCCGATACCTGACTCTTATGGCATTTCATACTTATCTGAGTGAAGGTGTAGATGCTGCAGTGATAGAGTGTGGCATCGGTGGAGAGTACGACTGCACGAACGTCCTCGAACGGCCTGCCGCGACTGCGATTACTAGCTTAGGCATTGACCATACTGCTATGCTGGGAACAACGATTGAAGAAATTGCCTGGCATAAGGGTGGTATTATAAAGCCTGGAGTCAAAGGCTTCAGTGCTCCTCAAGCCGCCAGTGCCGAAAAGGTTCTATACGACCGTGCAGCGGATAAGGGAACCCAATTGGAAATCATTGCAGGTCATCCTGACCTAGCCAGTGGTAGCAATGTCAAACTTGGATTGGCCGGCGATTTCCAACGCACAAACGCAGCTCTAGCGATCGCAACGGCTGCAGAGTTTCTTAAGAAAGTCGGGATCGAAGACATTCCCGATGATTTTATGAAGAAGCCTTTGCCTGCTAAATTCCGCAAAGGGTTGGAATTGGCTCGGTTAGGTGGACGTTGTGAAACCCGGCATGAAAAGAATGTCACCTGGTTCATTGACGGTGGTCATACTCTAGAGAGTATCAAGCTGGCCGGCCAATGGTTCACCTCCCAGATACACGCAAATTCCTCATCCGGTGCGGTAGCAAACAAAAAGCTGCGCGTTTTGATCTTCAATCAGCAAACTCGTGATAGCAATGCCCTCGCCCAAGCCCTCTATGACACCCTAGCTGCAGCTCTTAAGTCCGAGCAGCCTTTTACTCATGCGATTTTCTGTACCAATGTAACGTACAAAGAGGCAGGTTATCGACCCGACCTCGTAAGCATGAACACGAGCGCATCTGAGGTGGAAAGATTACAGGTTCAGAACAGCCTTGCTGAGAAATGGCGTTCAATTGATCCACGTGCCGAGGTCAACGTGTATAGCACCATCGAAGAAGCTGTTGACTTCACCCGCGACTTGGCAGCGAAGGAGAGAGAACGTGCAGATAACGATGAAACACCCATCATGACCTTTGTCACGGGCAGTTTACATCTTGTTGGCGGTTTCCTGGACGTGATTGAGACCAAGCCGGGTCCGCAATGAAGAGATACATCCGTGGAACTCTTTTTTTTATTTTTTATCTGCGATTCGCTACCACGTGGAATTGGAGATCTGGACATTATTAGTTGTCTATGCAGTGTTCTCAACAACATACTCAACGATACCCAGAAGGGCTGGTAGTCCTTTTCATGTTAGCATGTGGGATGGTATAAATCTGGAGAGGCGTTTATCTTGGGATTCAACAAACCTCGAATTCAGTTCATATATGGAATATATAAATATAATATAGCCTGGAGAAGATCAGAGAAAACCAATTGAACGCTTTCGTCTCAAATTGTGTGTACATCCATTGTATTGATTTGCCGAGGCAAGAGATCACACATAGCGGACAATCTATACTTCGACGTGCTGTACATTCAATTACGCTGTAGTACGTCGGACGCCAATTGTCGGGAACGAATAAGTTAGAGAAAGCGCCAAGTAGAATTTGGTTCCACCAATTACGAAGGGTGCATACAATATTTGGTGGAGACCTTGTTGTGGCTCGAGTGAGTGAATTGAATTGTTTACTTATCAATGAATTTATGATTACTACTACGTATTTATTAAGCTTGACCCCGCGAAATTGGCGCGACGTGGGGCGGCGGACCTGAAAACCTTCCGCACTCAACCCGCTTAAATCTTACCCCCTCCTCATCACCTCGCCCGCCGTGATGTCGGACCCCAAGGATACCAAGGGCAAAGCGCCCCAGGCTGAGGATACACAAGCAGGTAGCTCTGAACAAAAGCCTAAGGATGCGTCAATCACCCCTAAGATGGTGGAGAAGCTGTTGGAGAATAACCCGGCGCTGAAGAATGAGCTGGCCGGAATGGACAAGAAAGAAGCTGCGGAGGCATTGCGCAAGATGACCATCTCCGAGCTGCTGACTGGTCTATCGGTCGGTGGGAAGAACCAGAAGGACATGGCTTCGTACAGGTTCTGGCAAACACAACCCGTCCCCCGTTTCGATGAGGCCAGCAATGCCAGCGGAGGTCCCATTAAGATCATCGACCCCGAGAAGGTGTCGAAGGAGCCCGATCAGCTCATCGAAGGTTTCGAGTGGACAACTCTTGATTTGACCAACGAGACCGAGCTGCAGGAATTGTGGGACTTGTTAACATATCATTACGTGGAGGACGATAATGCCATGTTCCGCTTTAGATACTCCCAGTCATTTTTGCATTGGTACGTTGTTATTAGCATTGGCATAAATATGTTATCATAACATGAGGTAGATTAACGTAAACTAACACTTACAAACATGATAGGGCTCTGATGTCTCCCGGTTGGAGAAAGGAATGGCATGTGGGCGTTCGCGCTACCAAGTCTAAGAAGCTTGTCGCATCTATTTGCGGTGTGCCTACCGAGATCCGTGTTCGCGATCAGAAGCTCAAGGTGACGGAAATCAATTTCCTCTGTATCCACAAGAAACTGCGATCTAAGCGTTTGACTCCCGTTCTCATCAAAGAGATAACCCGTCGCTGCTACCTGAATGGAATCTACCAAGCCATCTATACTGCCGGTGTGGTTTTGCCTACGCCAGTCAGCTCTTGCCGCTACTATCACCGTCCGTTGGACTGGTTGAAGCTTTATGAGGTCGGCTTCTCGCCCCTTCCTCATGGCTCTACCAAAGCCCGTCAGATCACCAAGAATCATCTTCCCAGCACTACATCTACGCCTGGACTGCGTCCCATGGGGACCAAGGATATTGACGCAGTCCACGACTTGCTCGAGCGGTATCTGAAGCGCTTTGATATGAACCAGGCTTTCACAAGAGAGGAAATTGAGCATTGGCTGGTACACAAGGACGGCGAAGGAAAGGAGCAAGTTGTCTGGTCATATGTGGTAGAAGATCCTGAGACACACAAGATTACTGACTTCTTCTCGTTCTACAACCTCCCATCTACGGTCATTCAGCACCCGAAGCATAAGGAGGTGCGTGCTGCTTACCTCTATTACTATGCAACCGAGACCGCATTCACGGAGGATCTAAAGGCCTTGAAAGAGCGTCTTCTACTTCTGATGAACGATGCCTTGATCCAGGCCAAGAAGGTAAGAAACCCAAATAGCTCCTGAATCGGCGTAGTATGTCCCTTATAGCTTACAATACCCGCTACAGGCTCACTTCGATGTGTTCAACGCCCTCACCCTGCACGACAACCCTCTCTTCTTGGAGCAGCTGAAGTTCGGTGCAGGTGATGGCCAGCTTCACTTTTACCTTTACAACTACAGAACGGCCCCTATCCCAGGAGGTGTTAACGAGAAGAACCTGCCGGACGAGAAAAAGATGGGAGGTGTTGGCGTTGTTATGTTATAAAATCTGAGCGCTGTTCATACTCTCTGCCTCAAAATGTATTTACCCGTAACGAGAGGTGGACGAAGAAGTTATGAATCAAAACCCAGTTGACCTGTGACGAGACTCTTCTCATATGATCACAATATCTTGAGATTCCGATAGTCGCCGAGCAATTAGAGAAGGAATTTTAGGTAATGGACTCCAACTGTAGAAACGTCAGTTACCTAAAAAAGCCTAATGCCCAAGGCGCCAAGGCCAAGGCCCGTGACGTCGTCATCCGATGGAAGGGCTAGACTCTCAACTTCTCTTGAATCAACAAAGCAGCCTTTTTACCTCTTTGGTTTAGATGGATACTACTGGCCATCAAGGTATTTGTTACGTATCCAAGGTCTCACCTCAGTGGCACAATCTTGGTCTGCGGGCGCAGTATTCTTTTCCCCGACATACTTTAAGGGCCACCTTGTACAGTACAAAGTACTGGGCCGATAAGCCGAAAACGTTTTATATTGTGATCGACAAATGATACATAAGCAGCAGACCACTTCTAGGAATCCCTCTCAATTTGTCTGTCTGATGCGATTGAGCATACCAATACTTGTTTCACTTGCAAAATGGGGTTAAGCCAGTCGACTGAACTTGGCCCGGCCTCCTCGCCAGGTTAGTAGTCCTATGATTGTGTACTTGACGTGTCCCAATCCACAAAATAGAGAGGATATGTTTTCCCTTGCCTAGTCGCCTATTCAGTTCTAACATCGAGCAGAGGAGCTAAGTCACATGCTTGCTGAACGCTTCGCAACCAAATGCTTCACTCCCTTAGAATTAACCCACTTCAAGGACAATTTCTTTACCCGTGCGACGGGGCAAGGGGAGTTGAAGTACTGGAATGAAAAGATCTTGTCCGACTTTCTAGCTATACCAGATAGCAGTGACGCCGAGTGTCCACTGGATGCTGGTCCGGTGATCTTCCGTATGGTGTCGTACCTGGGGGCCTTTCCGTTCCAGAACACATTGGCTCCAAGCGTACTGACATTCGAGGCCATGGTTAAAGTAGTTGTATTGCTAACCGAGAGATATGGGAAAGTCTTAAGACGAGCGCGGAAGGACAGGATCAGGCTGCTGTTTGGGAGCCTTGCCGATGTAGGGAGGAAGGACGTTGATCAGCCGGCGAACGATGAGGATTCTAAGGAAGATAAGTGCGATTCTTGCGCTATTAAATCCCATGCGCCTGGATTTTCTGTGGATGAGCCTACGAACGATGACGACGAAGACGATGACGACGATCTTGCGCTTGCGGCTTTGGAGTCTTTAGACGCGATTGAGGTGTTCAGGCACGACTCCCGCATTGATAAGGCAGTCTATGAAGCTCGGATATCTATTGCCACATTTCGTCGCCTTCTGATGCTACTCCTTGCCATCTCACCTTTAAAGCCCCTAGAACCAGTAAAGACATATACGTCCGACATGAGTGAAGGGCGAATGCGAACTGTAAGGCAGCAAGCCGATGATATCATAGCAGCATTTCCTCAGGAAGAGTCGGGAGGGATTAGCTATAAAGCGTTTGCTAAAACCATTGATACATCGTTGCCGTATCTATTTGATCCTTTGACGCCACTATTCGAGCATCTACTTTTCAGCAAGAACTTGAATCTGTCCCAAAAGCGTGGCCGAAGCGACTCAACAGAGCCTACAGATGAGACGTCAGAGACACCCTTGCCGACACCTGCATCAATTATGCTCCCGGGAAGCTTCGAGTCTGCGATATTGAACTCAAGCATTGTATCACATCTGTCATTTTTCCTTCCATCCCCCAACGGCAGCAAGAACCTTCTCCGTGATAACTTACGTCTACATCCCATTTTCTCTACGGCAGCGCATGGCTCATCTCTAACCTCATTCTCTCACAATGTTCTTACCTGGCAGTCGGGCACATTATTGCTGCTTGAGGGGGCCGTTGCCGGGCCGTCTGGTGAGCATATGGTCACACTAGGAGCATATTTGCCACAACCCTGGAAATCCGGATCCTCAGCCCAGAGTTCTCGACTTTCGGAGACATCTGCCCTTCCTTGCCTTTTCCAACTGTCTCCGAAACACCTACTGCTGCCCGGGAACCCATCATCTTCAATACAGAATCCCGACACTCCCGCAGCGTATTTCTCCAATCATTCGGGTATTTCGCTTGGCTGTCGAATACCGCCGGCATCTCGGAGCCAACGCCTAGCCCCCTCGCCGCTAGGCGCGGGCAGCCTAACGATAGATACGAGTCTTGAGACGGCAGAATTTCATGTCGCCCCATTCGGGCATAATGGTGTTTTCCTCCCTGCCGGTACCAGCTCACCTTCGGACCATGCCACCAAAACGCACATTGACATCTACAACCTTGAACTATGGGGGTTTGTCCCTGATCCTGATGTTTCCTCCTCCGAGAAGAGTGCCATCGACCTACAAAAAGCGAAGTGGGATTTCGAAGCAAGGGAAGCAGAAAGAAGACGAAGTTTGAATATAAAGGCCGGGGCTGGAGATTCCGCTATGGAGGGAGCTAGATGGTTATTAGAAACGGCAGGTATAATTAGCGATAGTCACGGACGGGGTGGAGGAAGCGTTTGACGATAAATGCGATATGGGTTTTATCTTCTTAAAGCGTTCTGGAGGTACAGGACATTTGATGCTGCAGGCAGTGAATTGGTTCTTGATAATGCACAGGATCTAATGAATACATGTCTTTTGATGAGTGAATCTGGAATGGACAAAGGGCAAATTGCTGTCTTCTAGTAATACATTAATAAGAAAAATTATCAACTTATCTTATACTAATACTCATATTTCAATATCTAAATACTCTGTCCAAGCAAGATGACATCTTCTAGGACATGTATTCATACCGGTATAGAACGGGCTTCATCAGATACATATATCATGGCATTTTCCGAGCTTATGGTAATTAAGGATTCTTTAGGAGTGGAACATAGAAGATCAAGGACATTTTTTTTTTCTATTTTTGAATGACTATCTTATCTTTTTCTTTTTCTTTTCTCTTTTTTTTCTTTTCTTTTTTTTTTCTTTTCTTTTTTTTTTTCTTCTCAGAATAAATTGAATGCAAGTCTGATGTTCGAACCATTACGGGAAGGTCATTGGACTTTGCATAAATCGACTTAAAAATAAAAGTGATCGACCTTAAATTTCGCTCCCGCGTCTCTTTTTCTCTCCGCGACTTAATCGCGCCTTTCCTCCCCTTCAATTACGGTTTTGGCACCACGGTATTTGTCGAGATGGTTTTCATCTCGCATAGTGGCCTATATAACTGCATTACCTATTATTAATCATTATTCATTGCCTTCATGGCCGAAAAACGCAGACTTTCCGCTCGCGAACGCCGCGAACCGGCGTCGAAGAGACGAGCCTCCGAAGCACCCTCTCAATCGCAATCTACACAATCTTCGTCAAAAAAACGAGCTTCGACTGCTGCCGCGCCGCCGACTCCAACCCCACCACCTCCTCCCCCTGTCGAGGTTATCGAAAATCCTCTGCCAACAAAAATCAAAGACGGGGAGGGTCTCCCCACTGTGCCATCACCCCAGCCGAAGACGCTATCCGCGAAGGAGTATCAGTCATATGCAGAAAGGTAGGGTTTTGGATCTTGCTGAGAGTTTGATGTATTTGATCAAAAGGCGATGGTGCCTGACCTGGTTATAGTGCGGTTCTCCTAGCTTCGTTGGAACGATCGAAAAAGAAATGGCTCAGCGATGGCATCCTGGTGCGATACTGGACGAAACCAAAGAAGACCAAACGAGAGCAAATTGAGGGCAAAAACCCTCCCAAGGAATCCATGTCGAAGGTCGGGCCTTGTAACATTGCTGTTGGTCCTCATCTCTTCGATGCTATGCTCTACACCGTCAAAGACCCCAATGCGCCACCGCCAATTCAATACACACCCCCTCAGCGGCCGATGGTTCACTACGGCCACCCTAATAACTTCCAGCAATACCAACCCTATCCTACTCCTCCTCAACATGCACGACAACATCCCCCTCAAAACCCGCCCGCCCACTCGGCTTCCCCCCAGCCGACTTATCAGCAGGGCAATCATCCACCACCGCCGCATCATGCCAGAACACCTAATCAACCTCCTCAACGTCCATCTCAATCGGCCCAGCGGCCGTCACCATCACAGCACTCACAAGCCCAGCCTCCAAAGCCTAGTCCGGATCCAGTGATTCAGATGCTTGCAACCCGAGCTGCCTCAGACCCGGATCTGAAGGCGTTGATGAGAGTGGTCGCCTCGAGCAAAGCTTCTCAAGAACAGCTTCGTGCTTTTCAGGCTCATATCGATGAGCTGAATGCGATCATTCGCGCAAGAGAGCAACAACAACAGCAAAGACAGCAACAGCAACAGCTACAGCAACAGCAACATCAGTCCCACCCCCAAACGCCTAATCAGCCACAGGCATCGCCGAGGACACCGCAACAAGCATCTCAACCACCACCGACATCCCAAAAACCTTCACAGCCTCCACAACCTCCACAACCCCCGCAGCAGCCAAGCCAGCAACAGAACCAACAACAAAAGAAGCCTACCACACCATCACAACAACCAGCACAGCCACGGCCGCAGGAACAGCCTTACCCACGAGTTGAAGTCCATGTCCCGAAACCCCCGCCGTCAGTAGTCTCTACGCCTGAGACCCCTAGTGCAAGTGCGCCGAATCAGTCCCAAACACCATCACAGAAGCCCAGTGTAACGCCACAAGTCAAACAGGAGCCTGGGGTTGCAGCTGCTCAGCCCTCGCCCACTGCAGAACCGTCCGCAAATATTAAGCAACAGAGTCCTGCGGTGCGGCCTATGCCACCTCCACAGAACCAATCCGCTGGATCGCGACCGGGGCCTCCATACCCACCTTACCAGCAGCCACCATATCAGGGCCATCCACCTGCGATTCAGTCACGGCCTCCGCAGTACGGGTCTCCGGCTCCCTACTATCGACCAGCTCCCCCGCCACCACCCCCGAGATTGAACTACAAGTCGGTTGTTTTCGAGTTCACATCACCCTTAACACCGTATGGAAGTAGCACTTCGGGTCATGCTGGCTCTGGAGATCGTTACCTGTTTCCAGAGTATACTATATTGGAATGGCTTCCAGACGGGAACACCGTTCTTGCATCTTTTTTGCTTGTTAGAAAGGTGGATCCGAACACCCCCTTTCCTATAGAGATAGCATCAGAAGTGGCAAACTCGCGAACTAAAGGCAAGTCGGCGTCAAGGTCGAAGAAGGGGGACAAAAACAAAGACAAGGATAAAGAGAAGGATAAAGACAAAAGCAAAGAAGGCGAGAAGTTGGAGGGAAAGGAGATTGAAAAGGCGAAAGGGGAGAGTACTGCGCAACCTCCTACCAGCCAGACTGCCGCTGCTGATAGTAAACCGACCCCAACTGAAGGGGAAAAGCCAGCTGGTGGTCAAGTTGACCAAAAAGCTCCGCCAGCCACCACAGCAAGTCAACCCGACTCAGACAAGCCTCAGCCCAAAGACAAGCCCGAAGACGCGGCCAAGGCTACCAACCTGAAAGAATATTACCAACCTGTTACATTCCGCATTCATAGCTCCAACGCTAAAGTCCTCGAGCCTTTATCTCGAGTGGTCAAGCCTCCTGATGAGGTGCGCAAGTACATGAATGAGATCATGGACCGGGCAGAGCGCGCTCCTGATGGGTTCCTTGCATTCCGACTACCACGCGAAGAAGCAGGCGACGAGCATGATGTAGAGGATAAGAAGAAGAGTGGAACGCCAGTCTCTGCAAACCGCAGCCGGCTCTCTAGGGGCCGAGCGGTTGATGATGAATCAGACATCGAAAACAGAGAGGAGTCCGCTGAGGAAGAAGAGGAAGAGGAGCTGAAGGATTATTACGGGCCACCAACTGGACTTGTACCGATGGGTCTATAAACCATTGAGTCTCGCGTAGCCGGTCTTTTTCATTCTACTATCGGCCGCAATTTGATATTCGATAATTGTACTTTTAGGTGTTGTATCACGTCTTATGTATGATGAACAGACCGAACTATTTATACCAAACAGATTAGATCGCTTTTTTTAGAAGGCGGTAAAAGAAGCGGTGTACGATAAGAAGCTTATCTCCCTCTTAATTCCGATAAAATGACCTTAACAATTTCTACGATCAACAACATCACTGAAGGAGTAGTATAAAGATGGTTGAACTTCAGTCCATTTTCAAAAAGGCCTACTGGTCGCTGGCTGCCGGCGGTCTTGTCTACGTGAGCATCATTTTTGCCTTGACGTTCCCAACCGTTCAAAGATTGTAGGCTCTCATGCTTTCACTTCAAGTTTGCTGTGCTTCGTCGCTTACAGTCTTGGTATAGTGCCCTCTATGCTCACAAGGCCAATCCAGCTCTCTGGGAAGACGTCGACCAGGTTGAATCTTTCGGTTTCCTGAGTATGTTACGGCCTCCTACTCTTAAACGACAGATCATGCAAGGAGTACATTAACGTCAGTAGAGACACAGGTCCAGCCATTCAATCTGGTGACACCTGATAATGAAACCCTCTACGCGTGGCATCTGCTCCCTCCTCACCTCTGTCGGGAGCACGAGGAGAAGTTAAATGCCAATGAACCCTCCGGTCCAGCGAGTGACTATACCAAAACTCCCGCCTACGAACTGCTGGCAAATGATCCCAATGCCAGGGTCGTGGTGGCTTGTACGTCTACCATATTTAAAGCCCAGGACTTATAAGCTAAACCATTCCGTCCAGTCCACGGCAATGCCGCTCACATCGGCTCCGCTCAACGCCCGGAAACCTACCGCATGCTTCTGGGCCTGTCGACACCCTCCAACCCAATCCATGTCTTCGCCATTGATTACCGCGGCTTCGGCATCTCCACCGGATCCCCGACAGAAGAAGGCCTAATCACCGATGGAGTCGCCCTGCTCAACTTCCTCACCTCCAGTCCATTGAACATCCCTCCGTCTCGAATCGTCATCACAGGCCAGAGCCTCGGAACAGCCGTCAGCGCCGCGGTAACCGAGCGTTTTGCATTCGGATCTCCCGACCCAACTGCCATCCAGCCCGCAATCAAAGACCCCGAACCCTTCGCCGGCGTCATCCTCATCGCATCATTTAGCAATATACCTAGTCTCCTTGATACCTACAGCCTGAAGGGCCTCACACCTCCGATCCTATCCCCTCTTGTTGGCTACCCTCGTGTGAAGAACTGGACGAAGAGCCATGTCATTGATCGTTGGGATACCGCTGCGCGAGTGGCACGGTTAACGGGAGTTGGGCCAACAGCTCAGAATGATTCGGCCATTGGTTATGCGGATAAGGGTTTGGATTTAACCGTTGTGCATGCGTATAACGATGCCGAAATCCCATGGTACGAAGGACGTCGCGTTTGGGTTGCTGCGACAGGGGAGAACGATAAGAATGCTCCTGGGCGTCTCGTCCACGAGAGGAAGGACCCGAAGAGTCAGAATGAAGTGCTTATCTGGGAGAACAGATCTAGCAAGAACGCCGGTGTGGTTAAGAGTGTTAGATGGGAGCGTGTGCCATACGGTGGTATGTTTATTTATGCGACCCTTCCAAAAATGAGAGTAAAGGCTAACTTAACACAGGTCATAATCGCGTTGCGACATTCTCTGTTGCTGCTCTTGCTGTGCTTAGAGCTTTCGAGCAGTGAAGGTGCGCTTTAGGACTTCAACTCGGTAACCCCCCGACGGTGAAACCTGCCTTCTGTGGGACCCATAGCCTTTATTTATAATGTTGTAAAGATATAGATAAGAATATATGATTCATGCCTTGTATTCGGAAAGTATATGAGAGGAGATGAAAAGACCCAGAAGATATATGTACAACCTGTAAACCCACCCAAGGTACAATAGATAACGAACACTGTTTTAATCACGCTCGAAATTGATTTTTAAAATAATATCTTCGTAAGCCCACAGGGTCTAAAATGTATATAATACATGACACAAATTAATGAAAAAGATGGTAAAAAGAAAATCTCGCCTCCATCCGAGCACTCATTGAAGAACGTAAACCGGCCGATGAATATGGGATAAGGAGACGCTCAAAAACAACTCCAATAGTAAAACATGTCAAAAACTCTTGGTCTAGCCGTAAGAGGTTTATTTCTTGTGACGGTCGGCCTGAGCCTTGAGGTACTTCGCGATAAGTTCCTTTTGGACTTGAGGAGGACACTTCTCATAATGGCTGAATTCCATCGTGTATTCACCCTTACCCTGAGTGGCCGCACGCAGGTTGCTGCTGAAGCCGAACATGCCGTTCAAACTGCAATCGGCGTACACAGTGAATTCATCAACGCCAACCTCGGAATCGTTGATGGTGGCATTGCGCTTGTTCAGGAGCGAGATGACATCACCCTGGAACTCAGCGGGAGCAGTCACAACAGTCTTCATCATAGGCTCAAGAACAGCTGGGCCGCTGTCCATGAATGCCTTACGGAAGGCCTGTTGGGTGGCATTCTTGAAGGACATTTCAGAGGAATCCGTCATGTGGGTGGCACCATCATTGATGACCATCTTGGTACCAAGCACCTTGTGACCGATAAGAGGTCCCCTCTCGCAAGCAAGATGGAAACCCTTCTCACAAGCGAACAGGAACTTCTCAGAAATACTTCCACCAACAATCTGCTCCTCAAAGACGTTGTCATCGAGCTTGCCGGTTGGCTCCATCCAACCAACCACACGGGCGTAGTCTCCAGGACCTCCCGATTGCTTCTTGAGCAGATGGTCGAACTCAACCCGGTTGCCGAGGGTCTCGCGGTATGCGACCTGCGGCGGGCCAGTCTCGCAGTCAACACTATATTCACGACGCATGCGCTCCACGTAAATATCAAGGTGCAGTTCACCCATTCCAGAGATAAGAGTCTGTTCACTCTCGACATCGTAGGTCACCCGGAAGGTAGGATCTTCTCTCTGGAAACGAGCCATAGCTTTTGAGAATTTGGCGGCATCCTTGTTGTTCTTGGGCTTGATCGAAAGAGAGATGACAGGCTCAGGAACGAACATAGAAGACATGGTATAGCCAAGTTGTCCATCAGTGAAAGTATCACCAGAGGCACAGTCAACACCGAAGACGGCACAGATTTCACCGGCACCGACCTCACTAACTTCCTCCATCTCATTGGAATGCATACGGACAATGCGAGGAATCTTGATCTTCTTATCGTTACGGGCATTGAAAACATTGGCACCCTTACGGAGGGTTCCTTGGTATACACGGATGTATGTCAACTGACCGAAGTTGCTTTCTTCCAGCTTGAAAGCAAGACCAACCAGTGGAAGGGACTGGTATGGGACAAGTTTTACCGAGGCCTCATCACGCTTCTTGTCAAGGGCAAGGTTTTGCACCTCCGCAGGGTTGGGAAGGTAGTCAACGACACCGTCCAGCATAGGTTGCACGGACTTGTTCGCCAAAGCAGAGCCCATGAAGACTGGAGTGAACTTCAGGCCAATGGTTGCGCGGCGGATCGCAGCCTTCAACTGCTGCTCGGTAGGCTCTTCTTCAAGAATAAAGAGCTCGGCGATCTCATCATCCACATCAGCAAGAGTCTCGATGAGCTTCTTCCGCCTTTCCTCTACAGTGCTCTTGACTTTCTCGGGAATTTCTTCCGTTTCAAAGAGCTCCTCACCGCTGGGTCCTCTGTTGTAAATCGCCTTCATGCGAATCAAATCGACCACACCTTCGAATTCGTCCTCAGCACCGATAGGCACCTGGACCGCAGCAGCGGGAAGCTTGAGCTTGTTGTTGATCTGGTCGACAGCCTTGAACGGGTTGGCTCCCATACGGTCCATCTTGTTGACGAAGGAGATTCTGGGAACGTTGTAACGTCTCATCTGTCGATCGACGGTAATGGTCTGAGATTGGACACCTGAAACAGCACACAGGATCATGACGGCTCCATCGAGAACACGCAGCGCTCTTTCGACTTCAATGGTGAAGTCGATATGTCCAGGTGTATCAATCAAGTTAAAATGATACTTGTTTTCCTTGCCATCCTCGTCCTTCTTCACCCAGTCACAGAATGTGGCAGCGGATTGGATAGTGATACCCTTTTCACGCTCCAAGTCCATGGAGTCCATCTTAGCACCAACCTTGTCACCTCCACGAACCTCGTGAATTGCCTTGATACGGCCGGTGTAGAAAAGGACACGTTCGGTACATGTAGTCTTGCCGCTGTCGATGTGCGCCTATAACAGAAGTACGTTAGAATGCGCTGGCTTTGACGGATGTTCTTGGACTGTCTTACAGCGATACCGATATTCCGGACTCTGGACAGCCGCTCTGCCTCAACAGGGTTAAGGTTCTCAATGATTGCCTCCTGAGACAAGTTGTCCGAGGCAGCGGCTTCAAGACTATACAGTAAGAATTGTGCGGTTAGCAATTGGATCAAAACAAAGTAACGATAGATATTTATTCAAAAGATAGTACTTACACAGCAGCGGCAGTACCTGAGGCATATCTCCTTTGCTGGAGATGTCTGTTCAGGACAGACTGATAAGCCGGGGCAGCAGTGGGAGAACGGAGAACAGCCGTCGACGCGCATCTTCTGGTAAGGAAGTTCTGAGACTGAAGACGAACGGCAGATCTGGGTAAGCCAGAAACGGCGCGGTATGGCAACCGCGCGAGAGAAGGACACCTCATGACTATCGTCCACCCACACGGGAATGCTGATGCTTTGGGATCCCAAGAGTCGCGATCTTTTCGCCGGCTCCGAAAAAAAGTTCGGGGAAGCCAGGAACGCCTCACGTGATAAACAATCGATTGGCCATTCAACGACCATCAAAACATAATGTTAATACTACTCCGTAGTACAGGCAGGTATGGTACGTATGCAATTCATTTCATTTCATGACAATACCACTGACCCACAGTGTCTTTGACCGCCTTTGATTTTGCCACCGATCTTCATTTAGTATCAATTTATCATCGTGAACCTACTTCTTACTTATAGAATGTGTTGATCACTAGGGTTATTTATTTTCTTTACTTTACTACTATTGGTTCTCTTCTCTTACTCGAGGCAGTCACTAAAATGCGGCCATCTTTGCAATTGCTCGCTAGCGTATCCCGCGGCCAGTCGTCGAAGCTTAGGAAGCCGGCAATGAGTTTGGACCATGTCAGTAGCTCATGGCTATGTCATTTTATTCTTCTTTGTACACTATTGACATCTTAAATAGTTCATCCAAAGGCAGCGAGTTCTCGGGTTCTGGAGGGAGATTACCCGAGCATTACATAGTCAGATTGTCCAGGTTATCACGGAAGCAGCATCAATTACTGACTAGCTTATGCAAAAGAAATCCCCAAATCGTCGACACGGGACGAATTGCGCAGTTACGCTCGCCATGAGTTTGAGCGCCACCGCAATATAACAGATTTGGTATGCACAATATGCTGTTTGGCATCTAGGTCGGCCTGTGGCTAACCAATCTTTACTAGCAACATATACGGTACTTGCTTTCGGTATGGATTTGCACAGTTATAGATCTGACATACTTCTAACCGCACACAGACAGGGAAATCGGAGTTTGAGATGATGAGACGGTACATCGATGAACAGGCCTCTCGCTAAGTTGCCTGTGATTGTTTCGAGTTTCTAATATTAGATTGAAGCCTATGAGTTTTAAACGGATCTATCGGCACATGCCCAATACGCAGGGCGATGTGCCAAGATGCAATGTATAGTGTGACTATAAGGAGCTACGGAGATGAAGCGTTGGAGATGAGAATATCCTATGCATAGCAATCTCTGAATGTATATATGTACAATATGATACCCAAATTCAATTGAAAGTCGTCCACCTAAAAAAATCGTACAATGTTATCCTTGTCCCTATCAAACCTAGTTCCTCCTCGACAACAACTCCTTCACTGCATCTAACACACCAACAGACTTCTCCTCGGAACGCTCGATAGCGGAGCGAGCAGCATCATGCTCAGCACTAGGCTTAGCAGCTGTCTTTCCTGCCTCCGCGGCCGCTGTCTCCATAGCCGCATGACGTTGCCGCCAGTCCTTATCCTCCTTGTCGCGAATTTCTAGCTCACGCAGCCAGGCATCCCGCTTCTCCTGACTCTTGCGCTCTTCCACCATCTTCTCGAATTCCTTGCGCTGCTGTCGCTCAGTTTTGAAGTACATGCCTCCGACAACGACGGCGATAAGGGTGAAGAATTGGGCATAGATACGGGCACGGAACATCCGGTTCATTTCGACCGAGTCACCGGCCTTCATCGATCGGTAGGCGCGGTAGAGAGCATAACTGGTAGCTGCGCATCCTGCAATCCAAAGTCGGATTAGCGTAGTCCTAATAGGCAAAACTGAAGCAGTTAAGAGTTATTCCATACCGAGCGGAATCAAGGGCTCCTCCTTGAGACGTCTACGGAACTTCTGCAAAGAAGTTTCCTCCTCGAACTGACTAGAGGCCCATTCAAGTTAATGCTTGTTCCCTGCGTTCCTTGCGCGGATTATAGAATGGTCCGGGTACGTACGGGTTGCCATCGAATGAAGATGGAACATGGTCGCCACTCATTTTTTCAAAAATAAGGATATTACGCGGGGGGAAAGATCAACTTGAAGAGAGATTAGAGGATGCGAACGTTGCGAAGCGGAGAACCGTACCGGTGGTGATGTTTCAGAAGTCTGATGCTCCGAATGAGCTTCAACGTCGCAGTCTTTAAAATGGTCAACTGAGTCAAAACCAAGACTTAGCTGTTCATTACAAACCTTATCTGAACACTCTTAGATTGTCCACTTGAGTGGTAGGAGAAGAAGATATCAAGGAGGTTGTTTTACCTGAGAAGAAAACATGACGTCGCAAACCTTGGGACTTGGGTAATTTTCATACCGTACCATACATCATCATACGATACACATTCATTGATCGCATGTCGAGGACGGATCTATTCAAAATACGAATAGACGACTATGGATGACGAAGAGAAGATTTTAATGACTTCTACTGGATTCCGGAACCTAGAAGACACCTAATTATTGCATTATACTTTCTAGTCCTTACACCATGCAATACGTAGGGTCCCTTGAAGGATAGGTTGCTGCAATGTTGCGGAGATTGAACACTGCGAAAGGTGAACGATATGAATTAGAGCCAGTTAGACATGCCTATTGAGCTAATTATCAGTATAGTTCCAATACGTATACCATAAGATCTATAATTGACATCAATTCGTTCACCGGCGGGCCAGAGACCGTATGATCCCAAGTCCCTCAAGAGGCTACTGTTATGTACTTAATACAGCGCCTGAGACCCCAGTTCGTTTGGGCGAAAAGGACCAGTGCAACTTTATCCGAATCGCTGTGTACACTAGGAACATGGCAGCGCGGTGTCTCTTCACTCGTCATCACCAGAGAGTATTCCCTACATGCCTATCGAAGTATGGAAGGGGATATACTCTGCGGCGGGGACGGAAGGATTTAGGGCTGAGGATGAGGGTTGCTGACATAACCTCATCTGCTCCGATCACGGAATTTTATCTCCCCGCGGCGAAGATAAGTATTCATTTGCCCGTCATCTACAACTTCGGTTCCAATTCTCTTGTCCGCGCTTTGGCTGTGTGTTTTATCTTGCTGCTTAAGATCAATCTCTGACTCGTCTCTACGTGGACAGCATTATGTCCGCAGAATCCTCTACAAATGGCACTGCGACGCCCGTTTCATCGAAGTACAGCAACCTGGCTCTGACCGAGTACTCAACAGTGCCCACGCCTGACTCAGAACAGGAAGATCGAAAGCAATTGGGAGTACCACCCGATTGGGGTATTCCGGATGCTTTTTTACTTCCCAATGGCTATCCAGATGTGAGATATTCAACTAAATTCTCCGTAAAAGGCAATCTAGTTCGTCTCTGACTCACTCGCCACCGTACAGTATCTCCGATTGATCTTAACATCCCGCGTTTACGAGGTCATCAATGAGACTCCCCTTCATCATGCAGTCAACCTTAGCAACCGCTTGGAATGTCGTGTACTTCTGAAACGGGAGGACTTGCTCCCTGTGTTCAGTTTCAAGCTCCGTGGAGCCTACAACAAGATGGCACATCTGAATCATGAGCAGAGATGGAAAGGTGTCATCGCATGCTCTGCAGGTGAGACGTCCTCAAAGCCAGTAATATATATGATAATTGGCTTACACATTGTAAAGGTAACCATGCACAGGGTGTTGCTTTTTCCGCACGTCATTTGAAGATTCCAGCAACAATTGTTATGCCCTCGGGCACCCCGGCTATCAAGCACCTGAACGTCGCTCGCCTCGGCGGAAGTGTGATTCTTCACGGAGACGACTTCGATGCTGCGAAGGCGGAAGCGCACCGCTTAGAGAAGCAGCACGGATTAACGAGCATTCCTCCTTTCGATGACCCTTACGTGATTGCAGGCCAAGGAACCATCGGAATGGAAATCTTGCGCCAGGCAAACTTGCAGAAGCTGGAAGCTGTCTTCTGCGCTGTTGGAGGAGGAGGATTGATTGCTGGTATCGGAGTCTACCTCAAGCGCATTGCACCCCATGTGAAGATCATCGGAGTGGAAGCTCATGATGCGAATGCTATGGCTCAGTCCTTGGATTCTGGGTCTCGTGTGCTGCTCAAAGATGTGGGGCTGTTTGCCGACGGTGCTGCTGTGAAGGCTGTTGGAGAGGAACCCTACCGGCTGGCTCGTGAAGTAGTTGATGAAGTCGTTCAGGTTTCTACTGATGAGACATGCGCCGCGATCAAGGATGCGTTTGAGGACACCCGATCTATCGTCGAGCCGGCAGGCGCCTTGGCCCTGGCAGGTCTCAAGAAATATGTTTCCTTGTACCCCGACCCTAACCCTAACCGGGAGCTGGTTGCTATTACATCCGGTGCGAACATGGACTTCGATAGACTACGGTTCGTGGCTGAGCGTGCTGCCCTGGGTGAGCGGAAGGAGGCGCTCTTGAGTGTGAACATCCCCGAACGGCCTGGCTCTTTCGCTAGGCTAGTCGAGGTCATTCTCCCTCACGCGGTCACCGCATTCAGTTACCGTTATGCTCGGGACGAATCTGCCGATGTCTTTATGGGTATCTCCTTGTCTGCCTCTACTGGGCAGAAGGATCTGACGAAGATCATGGAAGAACTGGACAAGGGTGGCATGAAGGCGAAGGATTTGAGCGACGACGAGCTTGCTAAGAGACACGTCCGCTTTTTGGTTGGTGGACGCTGCGACGTGAAGGATGAACGTTTGTTCATGTTCGAGTTCCCAGAGCGTCCTGGTGCTCTGGCCAAGTTCCTGACCACCCTCCGACCCAGCCAGAACCTCAGTTTGTTCCACTACCGTAACTACGGTGGTGACGTTGGAAAGGTGCTTGCTGGCATTCAGTGCCCACCATCTGAGAAGGACCAGCTGGAGGCCTTCCTAAAGGATCTGGGCTATCCTTTCAGCGAGCATACCGACTCGTCCACTTACCACACCTTCCTTCGTTCTTGAATTACTCCTAAAGTGGGCCAATCCTTTACGAATCGTGTGTTGTAAAATCGGTCGGGACTCATTTCGGTTGAAATTTTAGTATGGCGTTCGGATGGAGCATAAAATTGATAGATCTCAAGCTGGTATTGATCAGCTTTTCATATCATATCTTAATGCAAGACTTTTTTTTCTTCTTTCCTGCTTGCATCGCACGCTTATATGATGGCTCTACGGAAGGTATAAGTATTGACTTTATGCCAACCAAGTAACAAAAATCATTACAAGTTATCTCATCAACAGCTTAGTGGTACACTTTCACTTCGTACTCTTCGTTATACTGAAATACGCGACTAATATTTAAACGAAGACCACCGAACAAGTTTCCATCCAGTCGCTTGCATTAGCGATAGGAAAGTAGTCCGTCGACTAGTCCATGCCTCATCTAGAGATCGGCCTTGCAGCCCAATGTCTGCCCTATTTCTCCAACTATGTGGCATACTTTTGGGTAAACCGCATTTGAATTAGTATTGAGCGCATCTCCGGCGCCGAGACTCTCGCTAGCCTTAAGTAATGGCATTGGTGTTTGTAGACACCGCCCTGGACTCCTGTAGACGGCTATACGAAGTTGTTCGTGTAGGCCAAACTAGAAGTTTCTTTGGCGATGATGCCGGGCATACCCTGGCATGTTTTTGAGAGATTCTGACATGCGGATTTGGTTTTCAAGCGGGATGAAAGTGAAAGTGAATTCGCCGTTCGCAGTACTGGAAGTAGATTCACTTGCTGTGAACTCTTCAGCGTCTACTACGATGGCGTTCTTGTCACTAGCTTGCCCTGTACGAGGTCTTTCATGTATTCGAAAAGCTCTGGCTTCCGAGACAGGACGATAACCCTTCAGAGGCTAGACGTTTGCTCTCGTACACTCTGCCCACTTATCCATGGAATCCCAGATGGCGTCCGCAGCATAGTGGCTGGGGGCAGTAAGAGCCTGTTTATCGTGTCTCCGAGCATCAGAAACTGGATTACGGTTTTTGGACGTGTGACTTGACCTTCGATACGCCACGATAAGACAGACTCCAATGCAAGCACTGCCTTGGCAACCATAATGATTTGAAAAGGCTTTCGGGTGGCATCCTTCATAAAAACAACCTGCAAGCCCTACCGGTGAATGCTGTTCATCCTGTTTACTAGTAGCTTGATGTGCTCGTACATGGACGGTGAGGCGGCATATATAGGGTGTTGATCACAACCGCAGTCGTAGAAAGTACATTAAGTACATCCGTACACAATACATCTCGTCGGCATGGCTAATCTAGTCGTCCATGATGTACATGTACCGCCAGACACCGATCTTTTTAAGGCGGATCATAAGTCCACTCCGAGGTACCCAAGAACTCATCACCACCCATGGCTATATTGCCAAACGTTGGAGTCACGGCAAGATTGGAAATATCTTCCTGCCGGAGAGCGACAAATATTGTGCAAAGCGAGGTTCGCCCCCTTCCCTCCCGATATCGGGGGCCTACTTTCAAAGTCCAGACCTCGTGTGCCGATGAATGACAACGAATGCTATTGTTCTGGGCGACGATCTCGATATGTCCTCCAACGCACTATGCTTTATACAGGATGGCTCCCGTACATAAAAGGGCAGTTATATATGGCCTGTCAAATATGCATCTTGGCCTTGATGTGCTGATCTGCCAAGTTCGGAAGCCTCGATGTCAGATAGACCGTGCTTTGTTGTATAGAGAGTCCATCGTTAATTTCTCGGGATTAGCAAAACGAGGTGTCTGGTGATTTTATTAAAAAAAATATATAGATAATCGGGGTTTATATATAGTTTTATTTTCTTTCAGAAAGCTCCACTGAGTTTAGCAACGCTGTATCGAGGTTGAGGATGATCCCAAGTCACTTAAAGGATAAGGACATGTTCAATGCAAACGGTCAGGCAAGGGGAGATGAAAGGGGTTTATATAGATAATAGTAGTGCATTAGATAAAGGAAAATTCTGGGAATACTCAGAAAAGCGCAGTTGAATGCAGCATCATTCATTCCATTGAATCCATGTTTCGGTATACCCCAAAGCCTTGTGATTGGTCGCTTCAGTCAACCAATCAAACCCCCCAAATACACAAGCGATACCGGAATACCGGCACAACCAAATCTCCGACTCACATTTGCTCCGAATATCATCAAACCATCAACGCGGATAATTAAGAGAAATCTCCAAACCCCACCCGCCCTTATAAACCTGTCCCAAGACCAGCGCGGTCTCATCCAGACGATACCGGTGGCCCCGATATTCCTAACCAACCCGCCAACAACCAACAACAATGGTGTCCTTCCGCTCCCTTATTGCTCCCTCGACCGGTCTCTTCCGCCAGTTTCTCCGCAAACCGCTAGCCGGTGGTTTCCTTGCACGGTCATTCTCGCAATTAACGACCCTGTCTCTTACCAATGGTCTCCGGGCTTTGCGCTCCGGAAAGGAGCAGGCTGGCAATGTTAGTGTCGCCGCGTCGACAGTGAGACAGTTGGATCAGATTCGGGGAATGAAGACCCGCTCGTCGGTCAAGCGGTTGTGCGACGGTTGCAAGGTATGAGAGATTGGGTTGTTTTGTGCCCTCGCAGCTTCTCTTCTTTTTAGAGCCGGGGGTCAGATTGCTGCTTTGTATGTGATGTGGGATGCTAATGTTGGAATAACAGCCCGTTCGGAGAAAGAACAGAGTCTATATCATTTGGTGAGTCTCTTTGCTGTGCGATTTGAGGGATGTTGCATATGCTAATATGAGTTCAGCTCGAAAAACCCTAAGCACAAACAGCGTCAAGGAAAATAAACGCAAGTCGGGAGAGGTGTACGACCATTTCAATCTACTGCATTCATGCTCGATGGTTTTCGGAAGAAGCCGAAAATACATGATGTGACGGCTCTTAATACCGGAGGCAGAGATACTTTTTGTGCATATACTGGATATACGGGTTCTCTTTGAGACTGGGACTTTGCGCATTTTGATTTGATTGGGATATGGGCGCTTATTTTGTTGCATGTATATTAGAGCTAAGCATTTCTTCTCATTTTCCTTTTTAAGTCCGTCATGAAAAGACCTAATGGGACTATGCGCTTGCGGGAGTCTTATCTATAAGACCACCGAAGGCACGTTGTGCAACTCTTATCACCTGCTGAGCCTTTTTCAGCGTCGGTAGAATTACGCGCATAAGGAGAGAGTTCATAACTCGTTTTATATATTTTGTCATATATGTCCCTCTATGACTGCAAGGGCTCGCCCATGCCGCCAAAGGTGACACTCTTGATCGTGAGGAATTCATCAATGCCGTACTTACTGCCCTCACGGCCGAATCCGCTCTGCTTGACACCACCAAACCTAGAAGCAATTAGCACTAGTGATTTGTGAGAAGAGTACAGTGGTACCTACGGAGAAGCGACATCGCTGATGAGGCCAGTGTTCACACCAACCATACCCACTTCCAAGGCCTCCGCAACCCGGAAGATGCGCTTGACATTGCCACTGAAAAAGTAACCAGCCAGACCAACTTCTGCACGGTTCGCCAAGTCAACAACCTCCTTCTCGGTCTCGAATGGGAACAATCCAGCCACAGGTCCAAAGGTCTCCTCAGAGGCAACCAACATATCTTTGTTCATATCGGTCAAAACAGTCATGTCATAGAAGTTAGGGCCCAAGTCTGACAATTTACGGCCTCCAGTCGCGACCTTGGCTCCCTTCGATTGGGCATCGCGGACATGCTCGTCGATCTTTTCGATGGCGCGTCCATGGATGACAGGGCCATGGGTAATACCTTCCTCGAACCCTGCACCGACCTTGAAGCCTTTAACCTTTTCAACGAAGCGCTTCACAAATTCGTCATAAATGCCTCTCTGCACGTAGATGCGGTTGGCGCAGACACAGGTCTGGCCTGAACTGCGGAACTTAGAAGCAACTGCTCCAGCAACTGCAGCATCAAGGTCTTCCACATCGTCAAAGACAATGAAGGGGGCATTTCCACCAAGTTCCCAAGACACCTTCTTAACGGTAGAAGACGACTGTTTCATCAGGAGCTTACCGACATTGGTTGAGCCAGTGAAGGACACCTTGCGAACTTCCGGGTGGGTGGTCAGCGCTTCGCCTACCTCTGGTGTGTTCTTCAAGGAAGTCACGATGTTGAAAACACCCTTCGGGATACCAGCACGGTGTGCCAATTCTGCCAATGCATTGGCAGTGAATGGGGTCTCCCCTGGAGTCTTGACCACAACAGTGCAGCCTGCCGCCAACGCTGGCCCAGCCTTCCGAGTGATCATTGCTGCAGGGAAGTTCCATGGGGTGATCAAGCTGCAAACTCCCACAGGCTGTTTGAGTGTCATAACTCTGTTACCTGCCACCGAGGAAGGAATAGTGTCTCCATAAATTCGGGGCGCCTCCTCACTGAACCACTCAAAGAAACCTGCGGCGTAGTTCACCTCACCCTTGGCGTCCGCGAGCGGCTTTCCGTTCTCCCAAGTGATCAATGTTGCTAAGTCCTCGGCATTGTCGATCATCAACTGGTACCACCGGCGCAGCATCCGAGCACGCTCGCGGGCCAGTGTTGTGCGGAATTTAGGGAAAGCCTCTGTGGCAGCCTGAATGGCCTTTTCGGTGTCGGCAGCATTGAACTCAGGGCATGTTCCGATGAGCTTTCCTGAAGCAGGATCTAGAAGAAGATAAACAGATTAGAGGGCGTCTCCGCTGTTGCTGAGCTTCAAGTGTCTTACCGTGAACTTCAAATGTTTGCCCTGACTGGGCACCTACCCATTCCCCATTGACATATGCCTTCTCAATAAAGAGAGATTGATCTTTCAGCTATTAGCCCACCATAGTCAGTCGATTACTCAAAAATTGACCAATTGATCAACAATAGATCTCTCACCGGCGGCACAGTATGGCCCATACTGTATAGTCTCTTAGCGTAAACTGGTGGTGGGATTGTAAATGGATATCGGGGTCTGGATCTGAGCAATTGCCGTGACACTGGACGAAGAAGCCTGTCCATGACCTGAATTAATACCCCCTGCCTTATTATTAATACAAAATGCGAGGAAGGTTAAGAAAAGCCGACTTCCGTGAGCAGCCTCTGCTTCGCCTTTGGAGATGGTGCGGGGAAGCTTGGGGATATGGTCAAACACTGGAGTTTTCGGGTTGTTTTTACGGAGTTGGACAGCTGG